TTCCCGTTGCTGCGGTTTTCTTGGCTCTGTAATGACAGCAGTGATTTCCACTTTATGGGATGTTGTGAAAATCTGTATGATAATGCATGTTAAAGTATTCTGGTGGTAAGTGCCAGCTGATTTTAAATGATAAAATATTTACCAAGACCCATCTATCCCTTACCACGTGTATACATTTGAGGTCCATGGGGGAGACACATTTCCACCAGCCAAAAACGTTCCTGGCACCAACATGGAAGAGCAAGCTCATTGTTGAGTGTTGACACACGGGTGTGTGGCCTTCTCAGCAGTGGGGGGAGAATTCTCTGGATTCTCTACATTGTTGCTGTCCCAGGCCACACCACGGACATTTTGACTTTCAGCGAGGACAGAATAAGGAGACATTCTGGTACCAGGGAGGAGACAAGTTTATTCCAACAACTACGGGACTACTCTCTTCAAATATGATTGCCTGGAGAAATGCAACTCAGGGTTAGTGTGGTTGTGTTTGGGTTTAGGAATGGGGATGGAGAGGGACGGGCAGGAGGAGGCTGGCAAGCCCAAGCGGGCTGCAGAATCTGGGTCAGGTCTTGTCCACTGAGAACCTCTCAGGTCCAGAATTTTGTTCTGAAGCAAATAGGCAAAATAGCCAAGCATCAAACCAGAAAACAAAGAAGAAAAATGCATTTCTCAAGGATATTTGTTTAGTTGTGCTTTTCCAAACAAATAAAGGCAGCATGAAGTTATACTGTGTTTATACAGAGACAGTGGGTTGCCAGCCACACCCCAAACACTTTTGCATTTATAGTTAGTCCATCTCCTAGCTTAACCTCCCTCTGAGAAATATAGGTATAAGAAACTTCTCTCCCCACCCCCCCCACAGGATGCCACTGCCCTTCACATGTACCATTTTGTTTAGGGAAGGGAAATAAAAAAAGTCTGTATTACGGTAATTGCTTCCAGTAGATAATCAGTCCAGAACTAGACACAAGGATCCTGCATGCATGCCATTTTTTTATAAGAACTAATTACATTTGGAAGAGCAGAAATAATCATTGCAACCATTTGCATTAATGTCATTAATCCAGTGATCTGAATGAGCCTGGTGACACAGACATGGGGTTCTTTCCAGAGCGCCCAGAAATCTAGTCCACTGCCAGGCACGGGAGATGCAGGGCAGGTGTTCTCTACCAATTCATGTCTCTTCATGTCACTATATGCACATGATCTTCCTTACTGCTTTCCTGGGTCTTCATATCATCAAAACTGTGATACTTGATATTTTAATTAATCCATACCTTCTTATGAACATAAAAATGTCATGTCCACAAGATTCTGTTATGCCCTTCCAGGGCCTTGCCCACCTTTCTGGAATGAGAATCACTGGGTTTTTAACATGAAAGCAACAGAGCCAAAGTCAAGACTCAAACCTTGTGCCAGCCATTGTCTTCCTTCTGCTCCATACAAACAAATTGAACTCCAAAACTTGGCCTATGTGCCCCTCAAATGGATGCCTCATGTCAGGTCATAAGGGGGTAGGGAAATAAGAGGATAAGGGTAAAGGAAATGGATAGAATAATTTAACCACCTCTAACGAGGGGGGGGACTGGTACTGCATGTTGCTAGATTGTAAATGCATGTGATTATTTACGACTTAGAATGGAAAAGCACCTTCATTTGAGGACTGTCTGTATATCATTCTATAGGTCAACTTGCCTACTCCTATAAGAAGCTTATTCGAATACCAGCTCTATGTCTAGCGCTAGGCGAGCTGCTTAGGTTCTATACTATGTGAGACAGAGTATGAGTCTTCAATGAAATTATTATAGAATAGAAAGATAAGGTGGGGGTGGAAGTGGGAGGGAGAGAGAGAGAAAGAGAGAGAGAGAGAAATGGCTCTTGCTGTGTGAATCAGAGCAGACTTCCGAAGGAAGAGTGTCCAAGTTGGAATTTAGAGATGAATGGGAGTTTGCCAAGCAAAGTGAAGGTAGGCAGGCAGATGGGAACTACCTGAGCCAAGGCATGGAGACGCAAAGTACAGAGTAGCTTTTAAAGAACAGTGAGCAACTTGCTATTATCACCAAAGGACACATTCTGTGGGAGTTCGCATCAGGAACTGACAGTGATGACTCTGGGCATGTGAGGGTTTGGTTATGGTTTCATCTACTTAGCAAATGTTTATTGAGCTCTTACTAAACAGAGGGATTTACAACAGGAGCTAGGAGCTTAGGGTAAGGGAGGAGATGAGACATAAATCTGCAAAACTACTTTGTAAAGTAAGATACTCCTCACAAGAGAGGACAACATTAGAAGGATGTTTCATTCATTTATGCGCATCAAGGACGATGGATTAAATACCAAATGAGCACCAACCACATCAAGAAATAACACAAGTTTCTTGCACTGAAGGAGCTGGCAATCTAGTGGAGTGAACAGATACATAAATAGAACGTTATATCATAGCATATTCAATAATCAACATAATAACATTTATTGACCACTTACTAAATTCCAGACACTGATCTAAGTGCTTTCTATTGATTAACTTCGATCATCCTCATGCAATAGGTAAATATCATTATTGTCTACATTTCACAAATGGCAACTTCAGGTGCGGAGAGGTCATTAACTTGCTTGATCACAGCTAAGATTACAATCCAGACAATTTGACTCCGCATTCTCAACCATCACTCCGGAGAAACTATGGACGTACGGGAGATGAGCCAGGCTAGATGTGCCCTCGGAGGACTAGTCCTTCTGTTTCCCGAGTAGCTATACCCTCTCTGAGGTCTCTGGGGAATACAAAGATAGCTTACTGAATCTCAGGAAACTACAAAATACTAACACTTACCAGATTGTGAAACATCTAGAGTTCAAGCTCAAGGGTAAATCTTTCCCCCAGAACCCAACGAGTTAACATTTCTCATTGTATTGTTGTAATTTTTCCAGTCCCCATCCAATTCAGGCCCATCTATCGCCTTAAATCCCAACTCTCTTATTAGATGCCTGTAGGGTCTTTCTCAAGAGAAGTATAAATTTGATGGGGAAGCCACTAACATTTCTTTTCAGGGGTCCTCTTGTGGACCCCCAGTATTTTATGTTATCTAATGGTTTTTTAATAGGACTGTGAAAAGTCCTGGCTGGATTTGCATGCTGTTCATTTCTTATGTGTCAGTCTCAATATTCTCTACCCAATGAAACTGGAATATATCTCCATTCAAATTACTGTAACTTTTTCATTTCCTACCTAATTCAGCCCTCTCTATCCTCATAACCACCACAAGCATTGGGTTGGCAAATAGCAAGACGGGGAGAGTTATAAGAAGTTGTAACACTCTAATGATCTTATTATGAAACCTCATCATAAGTAGGCAGTAAAAAAAAGAAAAGTCACAAGATGTCAGAATGCCAAAATATGACCCTTTTCTTGAAAAAGGAAGTCCAGGATGGGGAGATCTGTGTGAGTGAGGATAGTATTTGCCTATAGATGACAAAATTCAACTAGAATAACTTAAACAAGTAAAGAGTATTTCCTTTTTTTTTTTTAAGAGAAAGAGAGAGAGACAGAACAAGGAGGTTGGGGGAGGAAGGGTAGAGGGAAAGGGAAAGAGAGAAAGAATATTAAGCAGGATCTATGCTCAGAGCCCAATGTGGAGCTCGATCTCAGGACCCTGAGATCATGACCTGAGCCGAAATCAAGAGTCGTCACTTAACTGACTGAGCCACCCGAGCACCCTGTAAAAGGGAATTCCTCTTGTAATATAAGCAGAGTCCAGGCCAGAGCAGATGTCAGCAGCCCGACAGGCTCCTTGAGTGTTTCTGTCCTGATGCTATCTTTGCAACACCTCTGGTATCCTTTCAGATATCGAGGCATATTCCAGACAACAAGGAGGGCAAAGACCAAAAAGGAAGAAACTAGCCCACTAGGACCCCTTCAAGAAAGTGTTTCCAGAAGCCACATCCGGCAGCTCCTGTTTGAAGCTCATTGCTACATTTGAGTCACATGGCCCCTGCTAGCTGCAGTCAGATCAAGTGAGTGTGTTAATTCCGCACCTGCCACCTGAGTGAAGCAGGGTTTTCATAGCCAGAAAAATGGAAAGCCCACACATTGGGTCAGCAGCCAGCAGGGTCTGCAACATTACACTAAAGTTTTCCAGTGAAAATAATGAGAGAGAAGAGCAGAGAAAGGGCAAATCAAAGTGGGCTTTAAAATTCAAGAGAACACAGATAATTAAATAAATAACAGCCTAAATTTATTTAAGTATTTTCCCTTTTAAGTTACTTACCAGAGGATCCATGGCACTAATCTCACAAGATGGGTGGGAGTTAGGCTTGGGGAGGGCGAAGCATTGCCAGCTAAGCCACCAAAGTGTAAGCTGTTTTGTGTCGAGATTATGATCCATTCCCTGTTTCCAGAAAATAAATTGCAAAGTAAGAAATACCAGGAAAATAAAGGGTTATCTGTGTATCTTAATAACATGTTTGTCGGGTACCAGATGAAGAGCCACTGAACCATCAGCATCGGGTATCAGATGAAGAGCCATTTGAAGCCAGGAGGGACCAGGTCACACATACGTTTTGGGTAGCTTGGATTGCAAGGGATGCTGGGGGCTGCATCACAGATCCTACTCACCTCTGATCCCTGTGTGCCTCACTGGAACATAATTTACACTGCGGTGTTCAAGGACTTTCTCCTGGTATCCTTCAGGGTCAGAACACTTCAGGTATGTGTGTGTTGCCATTTCCAGGTGAGCTCCCCCATTTGAGGGTTAGTCAATAAGTTTCATGATGTGAACAGTTCAATAAGCATGAACAGTCAATAAGTTTCAAGAGGTGTTGAGGAGGGGTGTGGGTGTCCTCACAGCCCTCCTGGGCCTGGAGCCTGGCGTGGCCTGCCCATCCTTGTAAGAAAGCAGGCATTAATCAGGCTGCTAGCAGTCACTTCCCCATGCCCAGAGGTCTACCCGAGGACTCTCTACATGCCAGCTCTAAGATCTCACTTTCCACCTCTTGACTACCAGTTCCTCGAGTGTAGGAGGAGTTTTGTGGTACTCCCCTGGACTGGAGGTGCTCCCTGGGGCCCTTGTGGTGTTGGAGGGAGCTGCCGATTACCTGGGCCACCCACTTGTGCTACTGAATTCAGGTCCTATTCACTCAGCCTTCTTGCATTGCATGCCCGCTACGGGATAGCTATCGTAACGAGGAGGGGAGGAGGTCGTCAAAGTATTTAGTAACTAGTAAAACATGTGCACTAACCAGCTCGAACCAATGTCTCACCAGTTGGGACAGGCACCGGTCATGAATTACTAGAACCAACTCAATACCAGTCTTGGAATTGGGCACTACCTCACAGAGTATGGGCCTTCTCTCAAAAGCTCTTCTTGTCAAATAATTTACCCCGAGTCTAGAACCTGGAACAGGTCCACTGGAGGCGGTCATCATCATGGAGCAGAATGCTCTCTCTGTGCTGGGGGGCAGCTCCCCCATCATTGCTGTAACATCACCCCCACCTGACTCCTGGCCTTCAGGGTGGTGGCATGTGGAGGCAGAGGTCTTGGTGACAACAGATTCCTGCTAGAGCAGATTAGAGAGAGGCAGCTCCAGGGCTAAATCTGCATCTTCACCTCACTCGTGAAAGGTAAGAATAACTGTGCTATTCTGGGTACAACCTCCATGATTCTGAGGGTGAAGTTTGAAAGCTAAAGATTATCCTTCTGGTAGTTTTTTTTAAAGACTAAAAAAAAAAAAAAGATTGATCGATTGATTTGAAAGAGAGAGAGAGAGAGCATGAGCAAGAGGGGCAGAGGGAGAAGGGGAGAGAGAATCTAGAGCAGACTCCCTGTTGAGCATCGAGCCTGATGTGGGGCTCCATCCCAGGATCCTAAGACGGTGACCTGAACCTAAATCAAGAGTCAGACGCTCAGTCAACTGCACAACCCAGGCACCTTCTTCTGGTCATTTTTTAAACTGGTTTTGTTTTTTTAGCAGAGCCATTTTTGCAAAACTGTCCTTGTTTGGAAATCCAATCCAGGGGGTGGAAGCTGGGGTGGGCCCCACAGTCTCACCATCCCCAGAAGCCCTGGACCCTGAGCAACCTAGCTAGGAAACCACCAAGTGCACTCCTCATTCACAAAAGGGGGAAAGTGAGACTCAGAAAGAAGTGACCCAGCCACGGTGCTAACTGGTTCAAGTCAGACAAATGGAATCTAGGCTTCTGACCACTAGCCCTGGTGGGGCTAGCAAGGCACTTGCAGGGGCAACTGCAGGTTCTGTGTATGGGGTCCGGAAGCCACGAGTGAGTAAGTCACAGCTAACATTTGTTAGCTCCTCAGTCTTCAGGGATCCCTTTCACCCCCACTGTCTCACTGATACAACAATTCAAATGAATACCTACCATCTCATAGGATGTAATAACCCAAGTGAACCAACCCAGAGGAGTTAAGTGATCCACTCAAGGACAGGCCCCTAGAAACTAGAGCTTCCTCTGAACACAGCATAACCTTGATAGAAGTTAGTTAGTACATGTTTAGAGCAAATGTCATGTTTCCCAAAGGCTGGTGGTCCCAGAGCAGGAGCTTCCGTATTAACCTGGGAAATTGTCAGGAATGCAGGTTTGAGGCCCACCCCAGACCTTTTAAATTAGAAAGTTTAGGAGTGGAGCCCATAAAACAGCAATTGGGTTTTTTTAACAAGCCTTCCAGGTGATGCTGATGACAACTAAAGTTTGAGAACCCCCATGCTAAGGAACAAGGTCGTATTTCTATCTCCCCTACAGTCCTACAGCTGCCCTGTGTTGGAGGAGCCCTCAGGAGAGCTGGTGGGAGATGCGCCCTTCCTGTGGGACCCGGGACCTGACCAGTAATTGGCTCTGCCTGCATGTATGTCAGGAAGGAGCCCGGGAAAGTCTGCACCAGGCCCGGTGCTTCTAAATCCTACTAAGTATTCTTTGTCACATGCCTAGCATCATGGTAAATACCACATAGTAAAAGATGCGCAACATCCTGCACCTTACCTCTCTTCATCTCCTTCTGAAGAATAGATTTTGAATAGATTCCCCAAGTCCCAAAGTCATGGTGCACTCAGTGCTTCCCAAGCTTTGATGTGCAAATGCATCACCTAAAGATACTGTTGGAATAGAGATTCCGACTCAGCAAAAGTGAATATTTAATACAGATAATAAGATTGCGGGTTCAGTAAAGACTTTAAATCTCCTTCTAAATGCGTGCGAATCTTTCCCAAGGCCCTAAACTTATCCCCAAAGTTAGAAAAGCAGAGAGAAATTGCTAAGACCGGAGACCCCAATTATTGCAGTTCAAATTGGACATAATAATTTACCACCAGGCATTTGGGGGCTGAGCGCCGTGAAAGCTGATTTGTCCCTAAGGGAGATTCCACCTAATATCCCCTTTAAAAAGATCAATAGGGTGGTCAGAACTGGCGGGATAATCAGCTAGACAGTTGCCTTTCAGGGTTCCAGGAGGAAAAGTCCCTGGAGCACATCCTTTGTGGTAAGTGCTGCTTGGGTAATTGCTTTCATTTGATGGGAGTGCTCTGCACAATCTCCTGATGAATTTAATAGAAAGGAGATAGACCCAGAAGACATCGTGTTATATATTGAGCCACGAGACCAGTTCATCTAAACCTGAGAGACAATTCCCAGATTTTTCTGACTAGCATTACAAGTTGATGCAAACGCCATTAAAAAAAAAAAAAAAATCAAGAGGCCCTAATCTAATCTCTGCTTCCTGAGAATCCCCAAAAATGTGTTACTGGATAATGACTTTCTTCACAACTTAAAGAAACTCCCAAGGACTGTTTGGATGGTGGCCAATAGCAACGAAAAGCCCCAGAATAAAGATGGGTAACACGTGTTGATGGCCCCCCTATTTCCAGGGCTTGCCTAACCACACCTGGGGATTATCATCACAATCCCCACGTATCAAGTTGAGTCATTGCAGATGGTGGCCTGCCCCCCGGTAGCCCAGTGTGACCACGACATTCTGTCTTAAAGGAATTACTGGACTTCCTTATCATATTTTATAAATTTCTCTCCAACTGATGGGGGAAAGAAAGCTAAACAATTCTCTAGTTGGGAAGCAGGACGATATCACCTCGAGGTAGCAATGGGATACCAACTTTTAGGTCGCGATGTTGCTTTATTTGCTCATCTGCATAAATATAAATATTCATTCTGTGATGCTCCAGAGGAGCACTAAAGCAGGGTAAATTCTGTTGGGCTCATTTGCATCAAGCCCTGTAATGATCTGTCACCAATTACTTGAAGTATTCATGTATTTTCTTTCATTTCACTCAGCAGAATCCAAAAAGCCAAGATGGCCTTTCTCCAAGAGACAGGTGGTGAGTGTTGTGCATTGTCATGTTTGCTTTAAGAAAGCCTCGGTAGCTAAGGAAGTGAGAGATGGCTGAAGAGCCCCTTCATCCCACTTTATCTTTGTGTGATGGCAGATGGCACAAGGAGTTTAAACAATATCATCACATCCACGGCAGTGGCTGCCAAACATGCCAAATGATGCCATTGCGTGCAGCAGAACGTGCTGATTGCCAGTGGGTAATAAGCTCTGCAAAAAACCAAGCAATGCTAACATTGTGATGCTTGACAACTGCAAATTTATAACCTGATACAGCCTAGGAGGCGGCTCACTCGTTGAAGCAAACTTGCACAATTGTATGCCCGGTTTGCAGTCGGCGCTGTGCGCATTGGGAACACTGAAAAATTAATGAGATATTATGGAAGCGAATTCCACAAATACACATCTATTTCTGGGGAAGCCAGTTGGACCTGTCCTAGTAGGTTTTTTAAATTCATTCTTGGTTCCATCCATTATTGAAGGGTTATAAATCGAAAGCGGTGATCCTTGATTCTTTACTACCTAGGACAAGAGTTGGCGGCCAGCCGGCCTTCCTGGTGGGCACGCTTCACTGCTGTCTACACACCTGCAGCTGGCGGAGCAGTAGGGCCTCCTGGGTAGTGGCTGTGCCCCATTCTAGTACAAAAGTCTGCCCACATGGCCTCCAATCACTTTGTCATCTGTAGATACACACACATTGATTTTTTTTTTTAAAGTCCTGTAGCTAAATCCAAAGCCCTCTGAGGTTCCAGTCTATGCTGCTCTAATTACTGTTCCAGATGAATCACCCTCCCTCAGCTTTGAGTCCTTCCCTCTAGAGGGGGGTGTGGTAATGGACCAGCCTCAGAAGGGGGTCCTGATGAGTAAATCAAACAATGTTTGTGGAGCTTGCCACAGAGTGGGACATGTGGTAAACATAGCAATCTGTCCTGGCCATAGTGTTGGTAGTATTACTTTATTAGGATCTGGAGGGGATCCCTGGGTGACTCAGTGGTTTAGCGCCACCTTCAACCCAGGGCGTGATCCCAGGGTCCTGGAATCAAGTCCCACATCAGGCTCCCTGCATGGAGCCTGCTTCTCCCTCTGCCTGTGTCTCTGCCTCTCTCTCTCTCTCTCTGTGTCTCTCATGAATAAATAAATAAAATATTTTTTAAAAAATAAAAATAATTAGGAACTGGAAAACTATTTGTTCTCATAACTGAATGCATGGTTGACTCACATAATTTTTTCAAGCATAAAAAAAAAAAACTCATATAAGTGTCTTAGTCAGCTTGGACTGCTGCAACAAACTACCAACGACTAGGAGGCCTAAACAGTAAATACTTATTTCTGGAGTCTGGGGAAGTCCGATATCAAGGAGGCAGCACTGTTGGGTTATGGTGAAGGCTCTCCTCCTGGCTTGTAGGTGGCCTTCTCGCTGCACCCTCACATGGCTGAGAGGGAGCACATTACTGTCTCTTCTTTGTATAATGGCCTAGATCCCAACTTGGGGCCCCACCCCCATGACCTCATCTAAACCTGCTTACCTCCCAAAGTCCCCATCTCCAAATACCATCACATTTAGGGGTTAGAGCTCTAGCATATGAATTTGGGGAGGATACAAACATTCAGTTTGTAGGGACACAGTCTAAACATTACAAATGTTTAGATTCAAATCATAAACTACCGGTACAATTGTGACACCATCGTCATAAACAATGACATGAGATGTTGCTCACCAGTCACTCTCATTTTGTCCCTGTTTAGAGACTCAATTTGACTATTTTCCTGGCAGATCTGAGACTGCTTTGCCTGGGCTCTTTCCTCATATAAATGGGAGCAGGGAGGGTTACCAGGCAGATGTGAGGTCCCAGGAGAAGGGGCATCTCCCACCAGTTTTCCTCCAGAGGAAGGAAGCTGTAAAAGCTGCCAAGGAGATTAAAATGTGCTATCAGAAGGGAAAAACTTACCTAAGGAAGGGAAACCCCTACAAGAACACTCCTATAAGATGACCCATCTATTTTTAGATTTTAGAAGCTCTATTATTCCTCCTAAAGAAGCAACATGTCCCACATGTGCTGGGTGACTGTATGTGCCAAGCACTGGGCTAGATAGCTAAGACACCAAGATGCCCATCACCAACTCATAATTGAGAAGGTTCGACTGGCATGTAAATTAGAAGAAAAAATGTGCTGAATAACTTGCACAGTGTTGGAGGTGGGTAGGCAGCGGTGGAGAATAATTAGTGGAATGACAAAACGTTTCAGCAAATGTTCTCAGTAATGAAAGGAAATTCATTTCTTGAAGGCTCATTTTCAAAAGGATACAATATTTCCTCCCTTTAAAATCAACCTGTCAGGATCCCTGGGTGGCGCAGCGGTTTGGCGCCTGCCTTTGGCCCAGGGCGCGATCCTGGAGACCCGGGATCGAGTCCCACGTCGGGCTCCCGGCATGGAGCCTGCTTCTCCCTCTGCCTGTGTCTCTGCCTCTCTCTCTCTCTCTGTGTGTGACTATCATAAATAAATAAAAATAAAATCAACCTGTCTACTTGCTCCTTCATCTTTTGAGCCTTATGTAGCACCTAATTCACATCTCTATAAATGATAATCCACAGGAATATAATAAACATGCTGCTACATTGTAATGTCTTTCCCCAATCTATTACAGATTTTTCCTTTCTTATCATCCTTCCTTCTCTCCTTCATTTCTTCCCAACCATCAATAACAATATTAAGGATAAAAGCAAGCACATACGGGATGTTTCCAATGACCAGGCACTGATTCTGTTACATGCATTCCTATTTGTGCATGTCAGGGTTTACACATGTTGATTCATTAATTATTCCAACAACCCATCAAGGTCGGTAATGCTACTGTCCCCATTTTGCAAATGGGTAAGCCAAGGCTCAGAGAGGTGGATTGGCTTCTTGAGGTCGCATAGCTCTTATATGGTAAAATGGGGCCTTCTCCCCAGGGGTCCCAGACTGTCTGGCTCTGAGTCTCAGTTCTGACATTGCCCTGCTTCTCCACATGACCACCCCCGGACAAGCTTCTTTCCTTTCTCTCATCAGAGCTCTCAAAATTCTTCCCCATTCTCACCAATTCAATGCCATCTTTGTCAACCACTCCAAAATGTATATATCCACGTATGTCCATTTTGCTGTAGTTCCATGGTACCAGTGGCCACTGCAAACTCCATCCCATCTACCTCTTAAGAGTTATTCAGCTTGAGACTCTAGAACTAACCTTGGCTTATTCCTTTTCTTTGTCCTCTATACCCTTTCAAATACACTTCAAATGCTTCTCATTGCGTCTCCTAGCCAATGCCACCATAGCAGAAGCAATAAGGCCTCGGACAATGGGTCTCTTACTCTAAAGACCTAATGTGACCTCTGGAAGGACTGTCCCCTCCCTCCTCACTGGTATGTCCACAGAGCACTTTGGTCAGGAGGTTGGTCAGACCCGTGGAAAGTAACAGTGAGTGCCCCTCAAGAGAGAGGGCTGGTGCCCACTTTCCCATAGCCCCAACACTGTTTCTGTTGTCTCAGCTTCATTTTCTAACTGGCTGCTGATTTTTAAAATTTCCACTACATGCACTCGCTATGGTTTCAGACATCAACAAAAGGCATATGTCACAATTGCTGTAGGAGGTCTCCAGCTGGCTGCAAGATTCCTTTGCTACCGTGGAAGCTAATGAGCTTCTAACAGATTCCTTTCTCCAGTGCCATAACCCTACCAGAAATACCAGCCACAGCCCTTGAGCACATTCTAGAACTATTATATAGGTCTCCTTTCAGATACACAGGGAACCATCTAACCACAGCAGCAGGAAACCTATGCCTTCTCTTGCTTATAACCTGTCAAGTTGAGTAACTTCCAGAAAACTGCTTGGATCCACTGTCCAGCACCATGCATCAGGCCTGGGGCTATAGAACAAGTTAAAAAATTATCTGTGATAAACACGTATTTGAAATGCAGCCAAGTTGACTTTAGAAAGCCTCCCACATTGTCATGAGAGTTTCTTCCTGGTGAAATGAGCTCTTTCAGTGGGCAATTCATGATCTTTCAGCAGAATACTGAATGAGTCAAAAAAAAAAATGTGAAAAGGTCACACCATATTAAGTTTAAAAACCAGGTTACAAAAGGATGTGTAAGTACAACACCGTTAAAAATTGCTTATAAATACAGTCAGAAAAATGTTTTCAGCAGTTATCTAGGCATAGAGAATATCGGTAACTTCGATTTTGTGCTTTTCTTTGTTTCTCAAATTTTCTGCAATAACTTTGTAATCAGATTTTTTTTAAGATTTTATTTATTTATTCATGAGAGACACAGAGAGAGAGGCAGGGACACAGGCAGAGGGAGAAGCAGGCTCCCCGTAAGGAGCCCGATGTGGGGCTCGATCCCAGGACCCAGGGATCACGCCCTGAACCAAAGGCAGATGCTCAACCACTGAGCAACCCAGGTCCCCCTGTAATCAGATTTTTAAAACTAATATTATTAAAAATAAAAATTACAACAAAAATAAGTGAGCGGTCCCATTCTAAGGAAACCAGAGTTTCTAGAATATTCTGGTATTCTGTGACAGAGAATTATCATGTTGGGCAGCCTTTACCACTCAAGGCTTTATTTAGTCATCTGCTAAGTGAAGACTTGAGCTAACACACTTGAGGCACCTCTGATGCTAACATGCTGTGATCCAGTATTTGGAGAAGTTAGGATAGAGAAAGACATTCCATCACCCCAGGGCGGGTGCTAGACCACAGTTAGTACCTGACTGTCCTGAGCCTTGGATTTGTGTCTTTTCTCAGGTAAAACAAGACCTTTGGACTAGACATCCTGGCTTCTGTCCTCTGGGTCTGACACTCTGTGGTTCTGTGGGTCAGACTATGGCTCAGAAATGGCTTTTCACAAAATGTGCATGCAGTCTGTTCCCATACATCCTAGAGAATGAAGTGGAACATACTGAGGCTGCTAAAGCTGTGTCCTTAAAGAGTGCATGCTTGAAAGTCCCTTTTCTAATGATCTTTAAGCAGGGCCAAGACGAACCTAAGCACGTATCCCATCTGGAAGGCTCTCTGTCCTCTGTGAAGATTGCAGACCTCAGGGCCTGTGAGCTCCATGGCCCCAAGGTAGCTCATACCTTGTTTGCTGCCACGACAGGCCTTCTTTTTGTTGTTGTTGTTGTTGTTGTTGTTGTTGCTGCTGGTGTAGTCATTATTTTAAGTTGTCAAATTATTGCCTTGTTCATAATATGAGCAGAATGTAGGAGAACCCGGTTGGCTCTCTCTGTTGCACACTGAAACCTAGGAAAGCTATTTTATCTTAACAAAGCCATGGCCATAAGAACACTTGGGGGACCAGAAAGCCCCGTGCAAAATGTCAAAAGTTGCTACAATTATTCACCTCTCTGGGTCTTTTTTGATGAAACAACTTCTAAAGGTCTCTTTAAATGTTAAAACCCATATTTCATGATTCTTCAAAAGTTAATTTCACAATTGCACTGCTGAGGATTTACCCCAAAGATACAGATGAAGTGAAACACCGGGGCACCTGCACCCCGATGTTTCTAGCAGCAATGTCCACAATAGCCAAACTGTGGAAGGAGCCTCAGTGTCCATCGAAAGATGAATGGATAAAGAAGCTGTGGTCTATGTATACAGTGGAATATTACTCAGCCATTACAAACGACAAATACCCACCATTTGCTTCAACATAGGTGGACCTGTAGGGTATTATGCTGAGTGAAATAAGTCAATTGGAGAAGGACAAACATTATATAGTCTCATTCATTTGGGGAATATAAAAAATAGTGAAAGGGAATAAAGGGGAAAGGAGAAAAAATGAGTGGGAAATATCAAAAAGGGAGACAGAACGTGAGAGACTCCTAACTCTGGGAAACGAACAAGATGTGGTAGAAAGGGAGGTGGATGAGGGGTGGGGGTGACTGGGTGACAGGCACTGAGGGGGGCACTTATTGGGATGAGCATTGGGTGTTATGCTATATGTTGGCAAATTGAACACCAATAAAAAATTAAAAAAGTTAATTTCAACAAGCATTGCCAGTGAAACCTGGATTAGACTGCCCAGTTCTGGGTTTGGGGTTCTTTGAGGATAGTCTTGTTTTGTTTGTAATACACTGAGAAGGACTCATGAAATTCAGAAGTGTCATTCAAAACAACATTGATTTAGATTACTTCTCATTTTAAACGAAAAACAATGTATGTAAACAGTGCAGCCCATGCTTGGCATGAAGTACAATTGGCATCTCAAAGGCACAGGGACTTATTTCTAACTTATATGTAAGTTCTGTCGTTTGAGTAGCTTGAGGAGCCACTAGCGAGAGGGATGCCAAGGGCCTGCAGTGGGAGACATGGTTTTGGGAATGGCCTGTTCCTGCCATTCTGCAAGCCAGCTCACCGGGGTGGACATGGTTTGTTCTCTCTTTCCTCCCACATTCATGGTGAAACCTGGAACGAAGTCCTGGAAACCCATCAAAAACTTCCCACCGACCAATTAGACTTGAGAAAGCATCAAGAGGCCGTGTGAGAGCTCTTCACAAGTGAATGCACTTATTTCTTGGGCCATTTATTAGTTCTTAAGACTGTGATGCTGGCTCTCAGTTTTGTAGTAAATGGAAAATATTAATTTGATTCTCTGGGGACTTATGGTCCCCTCCATGCTTAAAAAAAAAATGAAATTGGGGGAAGTGTCTCTTTTTTCAGGGGATCTTAAGAAAATTGCATGTATTGTTCATTTTTGTTTATCTGCTACTGAGTTGGCTCTTCGTTCTTTTTTAAAAACATGGCCTCGCAGGCACAGATGCCCGGGGCAACCATTCCCAGTGCAGTGGGGTTGGATGACACAGCATATTCCTGGCGTCTCCCGGGAGCTGGTGCCCCTGAGGTGGTGTGGGGCTGCAGCCCCGATCCAGGGCAGTTCTGGGCAGAGAATTCCCTCCAGGAAGAACCACGGGGCAAAGAATGGGAAGGGAGCAGCAGCCTTCCAAGGCCACAGGGAGCAGGAGCCACCTCACCACAGGGCTGCTGCCTCTGCCCATAAGGCTTTTGAGCTCTGGCTACACTCTTACACAGGAACAACACTGTGTGGGGAGACGTGGGTTCAAGCTCTGGATCTGCCTATGACTTTGACCTTCAGAAAGTCTAGTCCTCCATTTCCTAAACCAGGGGTTGGCAGACATTTCCGTAAAGGTCCAGACAGTAGATATTTTGGGCTTTGCAGTCCATGTGGTCCTTATTGCAACTACTTAGCTTCAGCCACAGAGCCAAAGAAGCTGCAATAGATAATTAGTTAAAAAAGAGAGAGAGAGAGAGAGAGAGAGAGAAAAGAAAGAAGAGAAAAGAAAAGAAAAGAAAAAATAAATAATGTGCATGGCTGTATTACATTAAAATATTATTTGGGTAGTAGTCTTGGTTGATCGCACAGGCTGTCATTTATAACAACCCCTGGGCTAAGCTATAAAAGAGGGATGATGATTCCATCTCCGGCTATCTCATAACATCCCATCACTGTAATGATCACATTGGTTTTCTTCAAAATCTAACCGGTCCTATACAAATGTCAGTTAATATCTTCTATAAGTAATATCGATTGTGTCGGTCACAATGTTAAGTACTTTACCAGCAAAATTTAAACCACAAAGACACTCAGGAAATTGAGATTTAGAGATGATATGTATCAGGATATGTAAAAAGAGTTTAAGTGATACAGGATGTTAGTGGTTCATGTGGGTGTACTGTCCACAGATGGGAGAGAGTTCAAGGTTGGTTCGACCAAGGGACTCAAAACCAAGGACAGAATTTTTTTTCCATCTCTTATCCCTGCCTTCCAGGGCGTCACCCTCATTCTATGTTGTAGTCACAGAGTGGCTGCAGTCCTTGAGGCGAGAGAGAGAGAGAGAGACAGAGAGAGAGAGAAGATCGCAGCCAAAGTCTTGATTTTCATTCCAGTTGGACTGGCTTCAGTCATATGCCCTCTCCTGAACCAACTACCCTGATAAGGAAGGAGAATGCTAATTGGTTTAAGGCAATCAAGACCCATCCTTAGGAGTAAGGCCATCTTGATACATGGCACATGCAAGGCATGGGGAAGATTAGACACTGAGCTGAAAAGTATAAGGTACAGGGAAGGGGAGTACTGAAGCTGGGTGGTAGCCAATAGATGTTCATTATGGAGCACTAACCCCTGGCCTATATGTTACCTCCTTTGCCCAAATAAGCAGCCTAAGAATTTTTTAATTCCACTGTTAACTGCATAATCTTTTCAAACTAGCATTTTCTGTTTTTTTATCCCAGTTTGGGTTTATTTATTTTCAAACGTCCCAGTGTATTTAGAGTATATGTATCTCCCTTTGCACAGTCAATACAAGTTCCCCAAAGTTACTTATATTTTGTAAGTCAAGTAGTAAAATAAGTATACCAAAGGATTCAACATCTCTTTAAGTGGCAAAATTTTCTATAACGGAAAAAATTATTATAGCAAAAATACTATTTCTTCTAAATGTTCCCGATTTATCTGTAGCAATGACTTCTGTTTCTTATGATTATGTTTTTTAAATACTTGGATATTGCCAGATTTCCAGACAACCAATACTCCAGGCATACCTCAGGGAGATTATGGGTGCAGTTCCAGACCATCGCAATAATGTGAATATTGCAATAAAGCAAGTCAAATGAATTTTTTGCTTTCCCAGTACATATAAATGTTGCATTTACACTATGGTGTAGTCAGTCTTTCCAGTGTGCAATAGTATGTCTAAAAAATGATGGTCGTACCTTAATTTAAAAATACTTTATTGCTGAAAAATGCTAGCCACCATCTGAACTTTCAGTATGTCAAAATCCTGGGGTGCCTGGGTGGCTCAGTGGTTGAGCATCTGCCTTTGGCTCAGGCCATGATCCCGAGGTCCTGGGATCCAGTCCCACGTCGGGCTCCCTGAATGGAGCCTGCTTCTCCCTCTACCTGTGTCTCTGCCTCTCTCTCTCTCTCTCTCTGCGTCTCTCATGAATAAATAAATGAAATCTTAAAAAAAAAAAAAAAAAGAACCCTGTTGCTGGCAGTGGGTCTTGCCTCAGTGTGGATGGCTGCTGCTGACTAGGATGGTGGTTGCTCAAGGCTGAAGTGGCTGTGGCAATTTCTTAAAATAAGGCAAAAATGAAGTTTGTCATATTAGTTGACTCTTCCTTTCACTTGAGCACGTAGAAGTCATTGTAAGATTATTCACAGGCCTCATTTCACTATTGTTCTGTCTCAAGGATTAGGGAGGCCTGAGGAGAGGGAAGGAGAGAGATGGGGAACAGCTGGTTAGTGGAGCAGTCAGGACACACACACAACGCTTATCAGTTAAGTTCACCATCTTATGTGGGTGTGGTTTGTGGAACCAGAAAACAATTACAATAGTAATATCAAAAATGATTGATCATGATCACCATAACAAATAAATAATAATGAAAACTTGAAGTATGAGAATTATGAAAATGTGACACAGACATGAAGTGAGTCAATGCTTGGAAAACACACCAAAAGACCTGCCCAATGCAGTGTTGCCACAAACCTTCAATTTGTAAAAACTGGTATATCTATGAAGTGCAAGACTATGAGGGGTGTCTGTACATGGGATGTGAGGAAGCTGTAAGTCAGTGGTGCTCAAAATGGGGTCCCTAGACCAGCAGCATCAGAGTCACTTGGTAACTTGCTAAAAATGCATATTCTCAGGGTGTCTGGGTGGCTCAGTCAGTTAAGAATCCAACTCTTGATCTCAATTCCAGTCTTGATCGTGGGTTGAGTTCAAGCCTTTCATTGGGCTCCACGTTGGGCAGGAAGCCTACTTAAAAAAATATATATTCTCAGACCCCATCAGAGACCTATGAATCAGAAATTTGGGGAGTTGACACTAATCTCTGATTTAACAAGTTTCTAGGTGGTTCTGATGCAAGTTCTAGAAACATTCACTGCATTAATACATGGAAATGGAAACTAGAGAAGATTGGTGGTCTAGAGTTCTTTTTTTAGCACCTAAACTCCTTGAAATAATTGGTCCTTTTGAATGCTTCATCATATTTATAAAAAGTAGTCCTGTTTCCTTAAGTTGATCTTGGGTGGCTGGGTGGCTCAGTCAGTTAAGCATCTGCCTTCTGCTCAGGTCATGATCCCGGGGTCATGGGATTGAGCCTCACATCAGGCTCCTTGCTCAGTGGGGAATCTGCTTCTCTCTCAACCCTCTGCTCATGCTCTCTCTCAGTATCTCTCTCTCTCTCTCTCTCTCTCTCTCTCTCTCAAATAAATAAAATCTATAAAAGAAAGAATTATTAACAAGTTGATCTCTAGTTTATAGAATGAGGGCAGGTTATCTGTGAGAATTATAGTTCCTTCTTGACTTGCTCTAGTTTTCCTACTATATGAAAGCATCAGATCAAGTAATAATAACATAAAGACTGTCTTAATGTTTCATCAATATTTAATGCCTTTATCCAAATCTAAACATCTTCCCAGTTATCAGATATTAACTCATTAGTCCTCTATTTTTAATTTCCTGAATGTACAGGATATTTGGGTCTTTTGCAGACTCAATTTGAATGCTGTTTTGGTCTCAAGTTAATGCCATTGGCAAGAAGAGAAACTTTGAGATTTCTCTGGCCTCGGAAAGCCAAGAAGACCCATTTGATCAGATCCAGTGTTCAACAGGAATTGTGACCAACAGCGACTTCGAACAGAACAGCTCATTTCCCATATGTCCTATGGGGCTTAAATGTCATCTTTTATATTTAGCAAAATTCTTAAACCTTGAAAATACTGATTTCTACATTGTTTTGTAAAGTTATACTCAGGAGCCTTATGTTTAATGTTCTCTCAAAGGGCAAGTTTCAAAATTGGAAAATAAAAAGTAATATGCATTTTTCTTAAAGATCTTCATGAATACATTAAAATATCTACCAACTCATGAATATCTCCTGGATGTGGATTTATGGAGACTTTTAGCAAACCTACAGGAGTAAGTCAGGTGAGTCATAGTGGGAAGATTCCAGTAACTATGTTTTAAAATTCACCGGAGAATCATAAAAAATGTATGCTCATTCTATTCCTGTGGCTTATATACTATATTCCGTCCCCATATAACCTCATGATCAGGAGTTTGGGTTAATAAGCAGAAAATCTAAATGTCTGTTGATGTCTTTCCAATAGATTGCAGATACTAGTGGGGGTTCCGTAACATTTTTCACCTTGCCATGGCCATTTAAAAAAGTAAACATAGCACTTGCTTCATTAGCACAAAACTAGAGCCATACAGAGAAGACTAACATGGCCCCTGCACAACAATGACATACAAATTTGTGAAACGTTCCATATTTGTTTCTAGAATACACACTCTGGAACATCTTCTAGAATATACTCAGGAACCCATCTTGTTCACTGCTGTATCCAGGAGACCTAAAACAGTGCCTGGTATCTGGGACTTACTAAATAACATAAAGACTCCTATCTCTGGGAAACGAACTAGGGGTGGTGGAAGGGGAGGAGGGCAGGGGGTGGGGGTGAATGGTGACGGGCACTGAGGGGGTCACTTGACGGGATGAGCACTGGGTGTTATTCTGTATGTTGGCAAATTGAACACCAATAAAAATGAATTTATTATAAATAATAATAATAATAATAATAAATAACACTGAATATAGAATTTCCTCAATAAATAATGCTGAATACAAAAAAAAGTTAAACACATTCTTAAGATCTCCATCATCCTCATAAATATTTATTTTCAAATAAATGTCCTTTTCTCACATATATTATAAATAAATAATATCTTTCCTCTAAAAAGGAAGAGAGATACCAACAAGAATCTAGTTATAAGAAAACCTTTAAGAAAATATATATTGGAGAGTGGAGAAAAGGAAGTCTTTGGATTTTGCCAGGTGATAAATTCGAAATGGAAAACATTTATAAGAGTGATATTCGAAGCTCATCAATTTTTTATTCCTTACCCGTGGAAGTGTGCCTACTTCTTGTTTTCTTTCTCCCTGGCCCTAGACAAGCTTTGGTTTTGTGAACAGTCTTTTTGGCATCATCAAGGACAATGCCAAGCCTTCAGAGACCTCACTCCCATTGGATTTCATTTCTGTGCTCACGAAGGTGAAATCCTTGTGGGACGTCCCAGCTCCAGGCAATAAATTGACCCCCATCCTGGGAGGGTTGTTCACAGCTGCTTGATTTGAACTACTGCTTGATTTGTGCTACTATGCCTGAGAAAGTTCCACGCGCACCCTCCCACAAAGGAGACATCCTTTCCTCTGCCAGTCAACATTTTCAAAAATAACTTGCAGCTTCTGTTTGCCACTGTCACCTCTCCTGTGTGGGTTATATTAACACAAAATTCTGCATGCATGGAAACACCATTTCCAAGTCTGTTTTTTAAATTACTTCAACTTAAAGCAATATTCATGGCAACAGTTTGTGTAGGCTAATTACATGGTTCAGTTATTCTTCTAACAAAGTGCCAGGCTCGCAGAAAGGAACAAAATAAATCTTCACATCTATGAACATCCTTAATAAGACTTCTGTATGGAAGGAGAAGAGAAAAAGACCCGTACCTCTGGTGTGATAAATGCTACTTATTTCCTAAATAAATATTGACCTCCACCCCAATTTTTTTTTTTTTTTACTTTGACCTTTTTAATCCAGTCCCATGCTCAGGGAGCAAGATTTAAATTTTTATAAGCTATTCAAAAAAACCATAGATGGATTGATATTTATTGAGCACTTACTAAGTGCTCAGGTGTGGGGCTGAGACCCTGTACATGCTAATCTGCAAAATTAGACACACTCCCTGCTTTGGGGGAGTTATCAGTCATGGGGGAGAAATCGATCCAATAATGACGTTATGATATAATCAAATTGAGATAAATACTGGGGAGAAAAGAACAGAGATATTATGAAGAAAGCTTCCAGGCTGGCACAGATGGTGAGGTAGTGACATAGGAAATCCTTTGGGAGGCAATGATGCTCGAGGTAAGAGACGAAGGAGTATTTAATAAGGTGAAACAAGCATGAAATTAAGTGAAAGTAAGGAGATCCTTAGTAAAACTTTGAAAACAGATTTGACTAAGATGTGCTCTGAAAAACAAGAGAAAGAATATAGTGTTGGGAATTAGATAAAAATCTCAGGATTTCTCAATCCTTCAGAATATATTTAAATTTAGTTTTTAGTAAATAGTCTGGAGAAACATCAACTTCTCATCAAAACACATAAGTTGTATTCGTCTGCTCAGGCTGCTATAACAAAATATCGCAGAGTGGGCAGCTTTTAAACAACATAAATGAATTTCTCATAGTTCTAGAAGGTGGAAATCCAAGATTACGGTGCCAGCATGGTCAGGTGGGGGTCCTCTTCTGGTTCACAGATTTCCCATTGTATCCTCACGTGACAGAAGGAGCTAGAGAGCTCCCTGGAGCATCTTTTATCAGAGTGCTGATCCCATTCACAAGGGCTCCACCCTCATGACCTAATCTCCCAAGGGCCCCCCTCCTAACACTGTCACATTAGGGATTTGTATTTAACATATGAATTTGAGGGGACACAGATATTTAGGCCATGGCATTAAAGCCCTTATGGCCTGCTAAGCATGGGGCATTTAATAGGCTCTCTCCTAAAAGTCTATAGTAAAACCCACACGTGAATGCTTCATATTGTATTACAAATGCGCAAAGATGGGTTGTAAAAGCTTTTCCTAAATTTAAATCATCCTGTATCAATCAGGTTAAATTCATTTTTGTGCCACATTAACAACCTCCAAATCTCAGTGGCTGGGTGTCCTCGCTCTGGGACCCATGCGGAGGGAACAGCCACCATCTGGAGTGTTACCTGTGTTCATGGCAAAGACATTAAGAGAGGAGGGCAGAGTACTCACTGACTCATCAAGTTTCTGCCTGAAGCAATCCATGGCCTGGCTGTTCACAGGGCAAAGGTCAAAGAGAGTCACACGGCCAAGCTGCCCCTCAGTGGAGTGGGTACCTATACTCTTCCGGGCAAAGGGAACCGGTGAAGAGTAATACCCCGGTGCCTCACAAGAAGCCCACTGGGGGCAGACTGGGGCATTTGTTATTCACAGGTGAGTCATCTGTGCGAGTCACTGAGAAGAAGAAGGAGGTGTGGAGAGGTCAGATCATCTGGCCCAGGTCACAGAGCTTGTGGAACTGGATTTCTAAGACTAACTCTTCATGGTCTTAACAATTGCCTCTTGGTAATGGCATCTGTCAAGGCTCTCAGTGCCCTCTGAGAAGTCCTGCTCTCTATTTCCAAGTCTTTCCTGCCCCCATATCAAAGCCCCCGACATGAAAATAAACTCGCATCATCATCTTTCAAATTACTTCTTGCTGGGGCACCCAGGTAGCTCAATCGGTTGAGTGTCTGCCTTCATCTCAGGTCATGATCCCAGGGTTCTGGAATCAAGCCCCACATCAGGCTCCCTGCTCAGCGGGGAGCCTACTTCTCTCTCTCCCTCTGCCTGCTGCTCCCCCTACTTGTCCTCTCTCTCTCTGTGTCAAATAAATAAAATCTTTAAAAAAAAAAATCATTTCTTGCTGAAGCTGAAACGTAACCTTTCTCTCCAGAGTGTTTTGTCATCTGAGGTCCTGCCACAAAATATTTTCTGGGCTTCTGTTATCTCTGTCATTACTATTGTCACTTACTTTAGTGGCCTTATAGTCTGGGTCTGCTTTCTCTACTCACCGTAGTGGTGATGTTACCAGGAAGCACACGTACCTTCCTTCTCTCCCTCCATCACATTATGACACTGTTGGAAATCCCTGAATGGGACCCATGACTCATCATTTTAATCAATAAATCTATCAAGGAGCACATAAGGCTAGCAACGTGGCAGGCACTATGGAATCCTGAAGAGAGCATCTGCCAGGAAGGAGGCAGACACATTGGCCATGAGAGAAGGCAACTGTGATTCCAAAGAAACACTTCTCTGAGGGAGTGGCATGTTGGGTGGTGTCCTCCATTTGACCCTCATATTTGTAAACATATACATCCGGATGGGCCATCTGCCCTCTGCTAAAATAAATGTGTGATAGCTTACAAGTGTGAAGTCATTGCAGCGGATTTAAGACACGATGAAAGTTTTACAAGATAAAAGTAACAACATCTAACTCTTCATCAGATTTAACACGAGAACAATGGGGGGGGGGGCAAATTTAATGCTGTTATTTTTGGAAGCCAGCAGGAGAATCAAGTTTATGGATATTTTTGAGGACTAGCTGATGATGAGGTCAATCACGTACTATCCATGCCAGCTTAACACCCACCAACATGAGCACCGAAATCAAAGGCAATGTTTGTGATCAGGAACCACATGGGCTGTGTAGACCTCAACAAAGCATAAACAGAGGTAAAGGGTGAATTAAACTAAGCTGTCCAAAGTGAGATTTTCTTTAAGTATAGGAAGTGGGGGGGGTGGCTTATTGAGGAGTTACCTGTTTGTTATGGGAATACCGTTTTTGTTTAAAAAGTGTTTATCACAAAGACTGCCTGTTGTCCACAGTCACAGCTTCCACCTGACAGTGGTGACTTTCTCATTTCCCGGCCCTAGCTAATGGTAAAGGTGAAGGGAGAAAGAATGTCTGTGCTCTCCTTGCTTCTGAATTTCCTTCTGTCCTGCTCTTTTTGCAGTAGCTCGGAGAGCCACCAGACCTATTGCCTCAATTACTCAGCCACATCTTTTATGTTGAGAGCCTGAGGCAAAGATATGACTTTGGAATTTACTTCAAAGTCAAGTACCATTTCCTTTTATGTTTTCCCTAGGACTCTTTGGATGTAACAGGTTCTAAGAGTTATTACAGACCATGTAAAAGGGAAAGAAGAAAAATAAATGATCAATAATACCTTTTAATGACAAATCTGCTTTCCCTGTAAATAACTAGTCCACTGGACACTTAGGAATTGGCAGTGGTGCCCATATGGAAACATTATATCATCTTTCCTAAGATTTGGGTAGGTAGGGCTTAAAAATGCTCTTTGTTCTTTGGTTTATTTGTGGAAGAAATCGGTACATTGTGTGGCTTTGTGACCAGACATTTGGCTTTTGTAGGATTTGGCCCCAGGAAAGTCCTATTGCACAGAAGCCAGGAGCACCACTTAGATTGCCATTTATGGGAATGGTGACCCCTAGAGCACCTCACACCTCACGGGGCACAAAGTTAGTGTTGCCCAGGGAGCTGTACAACATGGCAGCCATGGGTCCTAAAGCAAGAAATTCCTGTAGGGGAACTTAAACATTTGCTAATAAGAATAACTGGAAAGATGGGAAGCCCGGGTGGCTCAGTGGTTTAGCACCACCTTCAGTCATGATCCTGGAGACCCGGGATCGAGTCCCACGTTGGGCTCCCTGCGTGGAGCCTGCTTCTCCCTCTGCTTATGTCTCTGCCTCTCTCTCTCTCTCTCTCTCTCTCTCTCTCTCTCTCTGACTCTCATGAATAAATAAATAAAATCTTTAAAAACAACAACAACAAAATAACTGGAAAGAATTTTCCCTGACTTCCCTAGTTCCTTTGATCCCTTCAGTATCATGCCAGAGCCCTTCTGTATGATCCAGAGAACATGGCCCAAGCCTTTCCAGAAAATAGCTCTTCCCTGCAGCTGTGAGAAGCCCCTGCCAGAGCACCATCTCAGAGGCATGGGAGGGAAGGTGGCCACGGGCCCGAAACACTTCGCTGTGAATCACTGCGCCTTTGCTGTGGTCCACATGTGCCAGAAAGCCTGGGTGTGGCCTGGCCAAGATAAGAGAGATGATCTTTGGGAAGAGACTTGGCCCCATTTTTGTAGCTTCAGCCTTTCAGTGTTTAATTTGCTACTCAAACTAAAACCTCATTAGATTTCCAAACGTATAAATAATCCTGTGGCAAAATTTTCCCTGGAAGCTGATGGATTGGATTCCTGGCCAGGGCCCCAAACTGGCGAGAATCCAGGTCCATGTCTCCCCCTTCCAAGCTAGGGCAGAGATTAATTTAACCAAGCTCAGCCACTGCTTTCAAGTAACTGTGGAAAACCCCATATCAACTGGCTTACATTTATCTGTGAAATGTATATAGCACCTGAGATATTTAAGGAAAAGAACTAGGGAGGGCCATGTCATAGTGGTAACATACAATACTCTCACAACGCGTAAGGCTTTACCAGGCACTTGCTCAAACATCTCTTAATCCTTAGCACAAAACTCTGAAGCTGATTACATGGTCTCCATTTGTTCCTGAGGCTCAGAAAGATGATGTGACTCTATAAAGTCACATGGCCAGTAGATGGCAAAAAAGAACCTGGATAAAGGTCTCCAGGAAAAAAAAAAAATCAATGCTCCTTACACCACAATTATTTCTTAGTCCTCAAGGCAATTTCCCATTTCTGGGGAGCTGTTAGCGTCATGAGACAAAGCTGAGGAATCAGGGGGAGGCTCTGGAGAAATGGGAGGTGCATCTGCCCTCCACAGCCCCACAGTACAGAACAAAAGGATCATCACTGATAGTTGATAATCATAGTATTAAAATATACAATAAATACAATAATTATATACATAGTGCTTATAACATGGAATAATTATAATACATAAGAAGAAGAAGTAGTAATAATAATAAAGGTGAAAAGATGACTCCTTCTTGAACTCTTGCTATGGCCAGGCACTGTGCTGCATGCTGGGCATGCACCATCTCTTTGTCTGTACAATTCCCCTGTGAGCACTGACATTATCCCCATTTTCCAGGAGTTTAGACAAATGAGGCAACTTGTTGGGAATTAGGGTCACTCTGGGCAGAGGGCAGGAACGATTCACATGCAGTCCTGTCTGAAGCAGACATGCGTTTTCCTTCTCTGTTTTGATCTACACAGCATGGTTAAAAATAATAATAATAATAATAATAATAATAAATTAAAAAAATTAAACAGCGTGGTTGGAGAACTGAAATCTGTGTCATGCTATGGGCTCCCTGGAACCAGGAATGCACCTGGAACCTGAATGGATTTACCCTCTGTACCATGTGGGACTAGGCCTTATGGGTGTCTATATGTGGTGGTGGTGGACACTGATGGGAGTTGAAGTCTCCTTGCTCTTTCTTAGACAGTTGAGATGAGACAGAGAAAGAGACTAGAAACTTGATACGAGCTCTGTCCATAGGCTTCAACTAAACAATAGCTTAGAGCTCTACCTGCTGTAGACTGTTCTGGGCATTCATGTAGATGAGCTCAAGACCCCTCAGCAACCTGACAAGACAGGCACTCCTGTCACTCGAATTTCACAGTCGAGTCCTAGGGAGCTTATGTAAATTTCCCAAGATTCCACAAGCACAGGCTGCCCAGCCCAATGCTACATCCCCCTCAAGACAGATTGATGAGAAGAATGTTTTTGTCTGGGGCCTGAATTCCTGTCACTGTTCCCCTAAACACACTCGATACTTATTATAAAACAAAAGCAGGCTCTATTGATCTAGACTCATCCATGAAAAAGCCTTTTATGTCCAATCTTTCTTGACAGAGAGGTTCTTTTCTTCCCTAATGCACCAAAAAGAAGAAGAAGAAGAAGAAGAAGAAGAAGAAGAAGAAGAAGAAGAAGAAGAAGAAGAAGAAGAAGAAGAAAGAAAGCCAATAGGGAGATGAAAGAAAAACTTATGGCTACTTTCAGAATCATCAAATATCTTTATTCTCTCTACTGAGGCCTTTCAAAATTCTAAAAGCTTCCAATTATCCCTGCCTGGATCTTTGGCTAAATTGTTTACTACTGATGCTTCTTGCCCGACTGTTATCTGGGGGGTTCGGATGTTTTTACAGTCTCCCTGAATCCCAGTGGGTGCTGGCAGCCAGAGCTGTCCCCTGAGGTGTGGAAATCTGGGGCAATGGCCCAGGACTGTGTTTTGAGGAAATCCGTTACTGAGGCTCCCAACCACCCCAGCTGGAATGCAGCTGCCAGTGAGTCAGCATGGAAATCAGCCCCAAAGGCCACAGGTGAACCCCTCCGCCACCACCACCACCAATGTCTTTTCTTTCCACTGGTTCCACCCCCAGCCTTTCTGCACCTGGAGTCTCTGCTTCCTTCTCTATCCCTTACAGCCTTGATGAGAATCACAGCCGTCTTTGACCTGGCTGAGAACTTGGAGATGATCTAGTACCTTCCACTATTTCCCAAAAGAGGAATCTGGGATACGGAGAAGGGAGGGTGATCCCTCAGCAAGCCTTGAAGCCTGGATCCTAGGGCTCCATCCACCCCATACCCATGTGCTCACTTTCATGACCTGCCATCTGTATGTGGCAAAGTGGAAAAGACTGTGTCTGCCCAAATTCCTGTGAGGAATGAGCACTGAATGTTTTCAGAAGAAATAATTTCAATAAAGCTGCTAGTGTGGGTAGACGAGAACCCCACAGATATGGTCAAACTTTGAAAGACAGGTGCAAATTGCTAAGCATGAGGCTGGGCAAGAGAAGGGGTAAGTTCAGCAGTGAGAGAGAAAGAGCTCTCTTTTCAGAGAAGGAAATGGAACCAGAAAAATGGTGGGGGGCTGTGGGCTGTATATTTGACCCCTCCCCTCAACCCAAAATCTTCAGTAAAATAAATGTTAAATAATAATTCATAATTCATAAAATGTTTTCCCTGAGTGGGTTTACAGTGGAAACCAACATAGGAAACTAACCAAAAGACTTAACTTGGCATTTGGCCCATGCTGTTCAAGAGAGAAGCAGTATGGGTACAAACAGAATCCCAGGGGCCAGAGAAAGCCATTGGAATCTCAGTGTCCCTCAGCAAGTACGTGAATATCTACAGAAGGGCTTTCGGACTTCCCTGGGCCATTGAGCCAATTGTACCCCGATCTCCAAAGTGCGAAGGTTGACATCTGGGCAGAAAGATGGGTGCAGCTATCTTTGGGGAAGCGAGAGGAGCCTCTACAGTATGCCTTGGGCCCTCCAGAGACTGGCCCTGAAATGCCAGGGTCATGAGACAAAGGACTTAACTGGAAAGTGGAAAACAGGCAATAGCCTGGGGCAGGAAAACATTTAGTTAAGGGTAGGACCCTTTTACAGCTCAACACAGGCGTGAGTGGGTGGGAGAAGGGAAGAGGAAGAGAACACATGTCCTTGATGGCACCTAGGTGCATAGTAGCCAGAAATTTGGCTCCATGCATCATGTGTCACCAAAAAGCCAGGGCCCCTCCGTTCAAGACAGTGTCACGTTCAAAGAAACAGTCCAGTAGATGAAACAAATGGAAGAGCTATTCTCATGTTTGCTTGTGTTTCTCAAATACCTTTTATGGAAATCCAGTGCATGAGCCATGGCAGTACTCACTAAGAGTACTGTCTCTCTGTCTCCCCAGTGCTCACACACCCTGCAACTGCCTCTTGATCCAAGCTCTCTCTATTGAAAATTGTCTTGTCTTTGCCTCTCCCCATTCCTTGCTGCTCTGTATCAGGTAGATCAATTTAACCTCTTGGACTTGTGTTTTCCTTTTCCCTTTCTTACCCTGATTCTCAGCAACAAAAGAAACTCAAGGAACTGTCCCAACTAGCAAAATCCCTTCCTTTCCCATCTACCCTCCAGTGTTCATTCTCAGTTCTCCTAACTATGCATCACAATGAGCATGGGAACAGAGCTGGTGAAACTAGAAGTCTCCCCCAAGGGCCAGGGAGAGGGAAGAAGCCAATGGGTGAGACTAAAGTCTTAAGTGAGAAGGGTAAACAAAGCTGGAGCACGTATATTGATACATCTTATCACTGCCCCTAACGGGAACACACATACTCTAGGACATTTAACAGATTTCAAGTATTTCCTGTGTATCAAAATCTTGATACATTTCCCTGCTTGGTGGAGTGCTGATGGCGGCTGCCTTCACCATCATTACTGGGAAGGCAAGACATCTGAACAAGGATTCTTTCATTTCTTTCATTGGCAAATAACAATGTCAGTCCCACAATAATACTTAACCATGTTTAAGGACCCCATTTTCAACCTTGAATTTGGCACCTGTAGATAGATGTTTGCTAATGACAGTTTAAGATGGAGTTTTCAAAACCAAAGTCTAGGCCACAGGCTTATAAACTTGCCCACCAAGCTCACAGGTATATCATGTCATTCCTGAATAAGGTCCCTAAGAGTTTCTTGCATCCAGGCTTCTTGGTGCCTTGATAGGAGAAGTGATATTCTAATATATCTGCTTTTGTCTTCCACAGCGGTGAGAGCAAACAGAACAGTGCAGCCGGCTTCACTGGCTGAGCTGCTGGTGGCTGCACTTCACAGGCTGACGTGGTACCTACCCTCTGTTATTGCAGTAGGAACTCTACAGAGGAAATCGTGATCAATGCCATCAAGGAAAAGGTGGAGAAGTCCATCAGTAAGTCCTTGAGACAGGTGCCCCAGAGCTCCCGAGTGAGCTTACTCAAAGAGATAGAGGGCTCTGTGGCTGCTGTGAACCAGGAGCGCTTCCATCCTAGAAGCTAATTCCATTAACTTGAGGTCATGGCTCTCAGAAACATGGATTTGACACACAAAACAATGGGCTCCAGGCACACCCTGGCAGCCTCTATGAGAACACCAAGCTTGTGGAGAATGTGAGTCTGTCTCCAAGGCCTTCAGAAGTGAGTTCAGGCAGGAAAAGACCTACTTCCCAGATGACTGAAGGCACTTTGTTTTTAACATCCATACTGAACCCACACACAAAGTAAATGGGGGTAAACACCACAGGGAGCCTTTCTGGAGGATAAATTACATTCATTTTATTTATATATATATATATATATATATATATATATATATATATATATATTTTTTTTTTTTTTTTTTGGTCACTGAACTCCAGGGCCAATAACATTATGCTAATTGCAGTCTCAAGAAAGAACTAAAATTTGAGAATAGGAACTAAGCAAGCCCAACGATGACTTTTTTTTTCTTTTTCTTTCTTTTTTTTTAATAAATTAATTTTTATTGGTGTTCAATTTACCAACATACAGAATAACACCCAGTGTTCATCCCGTCAAGTGTCCCCCTCAGTGCCCGTCACCCATTCACCCCCACCCCCCGCCCTCCTCCCCTTCCACCACCCCTAGTTCCAACGATGACTTAAGTTAATTTGTGGATCTTTGTATAATTAAATTCAAATAAAGAAATCCATGACACATGCCCATAAACCAAGATTTCCTGGGAAGCATCCAAAAGGAACAACTCAAATTGACGATTATCAGCTCTACAGAAACAAAAAAAATTTTTTTTTACAAGTTCTGAAGTAAAATAGCCATTCAGTTGGGAGCTTCTTTTCTTTTTAGATTTTTCTGTTCAAATTCTAAAATGACCCAAGGAACTAGAATTGAGCTTCTTGATGAACAAGACAAAAACTCAGTTAAAGACAGATTTAAAAAAAAAAAACTTTTGAAGTCATTTTGGAGATTATTACCCATTTTGATAGGTTAGTGAGGAAGACAACAGCCTCTCTTCTGGAGATTTCTCAATAAAATATGGGTCCTTGTCATTGAGGGAAGAGATTCCTGTGAGCTTCCTGTAAGTCTATGACTTTAAAGATGACGAATTCTCTAGAATTCCACCCACCATGTGATTCTATGGATCTATGATTTTTTTTCATATTTCCAAAAATTATTTCAAAACTTCAATAGTAATATGTTTTGTAATTTTTTAAAAGATTTTATTTATTTATTTATTTGAGAGAGAGAGTGAGTAAGAGAGAGCAGGAGCAGGGGCAGAGGGAAAAGCAGACTCCCCGCTGAGCAGGGAGCTCAGTGTGGGGCTCCATCCCAGGACCCTGGGATCATAACCTGAGCCGAAGACAGGTGCTTAACCGACTGAGCCCCTCAGGTGCCCATAGTATGTTATTTTTTTTTATGTTATTTTAAAATGTTGGAAAATTAATACAAATCCTCAGAAGGTAAAATGAGTTCTTCTCAAAAAGCAATAATTTTCCTTATCATGAAGTGGATGTAGGTTTTATAATTAGTACAAAAAAGATATGTTTGCCCTTGTTCATCTGATTTTGTCCCTTCTAATTAAAGGCTATAAGGTTTAGGGAATAAGATAAAGCTACCAAAGGCTTTATTCATATTATTGAAATAAAAATGCACAATACATTGCCAACTTGCTGAATTACAATAGTTAAGCTTCGTTTTTCTCTGCAAGTGGCTGATTTCAAATTAGTGAGTTTTTTGAAGACATTTAAACAGCAAGCAATATGTTAAATGAACCTAAGATATGGTTTGTCTCCAGGGGCAGTCAGCTTCTCTAAATGATTACTATGGATCTTGGTTAAATTTTGTGCTGTAATGTCACATGCATTTAAGACTATATTGATTGTGTCTTGTTTTTTCAGGGGATCTTGAAGGAAAGGTGAAGGCTTGACAATTTCCAAAAATGTCAACCTCTACAGGAGATTAGAGATAATCTAATCTTTGGGATAGAGATAAAAGATTTTTTGGGATGCCTGGGTGGCAGGGCATGATCCTGGAGTCCTGGGATCAAGTCCCACATCCAGGTCCCCACATGGAGTCTGCTTCTCCCTCTGCCTGTGTCTCTGCTTCTCCGTGTCTCTCATGAATAAATAAAATCTTTTTTTTTTTAAAAAAAAGCACTTTTCATTCCAGAGGTATAAAAAGGATCAATTAAGACTTGTGTCCTTTTCTAGAAGTTTGTCATTTAAGTAGAAATTAATACACGAGTCTTAGAAAGTCCCCAGTTGTCCACTAGAATAAGAAATCGAGTTTTATGAACAAGAAGTGAAGCTTTCATCCATGTGACCTTGTATGTGGGAGGCTGACATTACCAGCCATTCTCGGGGTGGCCCTTCTAAGCAGTTTCCATTCTGTCCCATTCTCATGTCCACCTTCCAGCATTTCTGAGCGTCGCCCCCCTTCTAACTATCTAGAATGCATTGCCCCAGCTCCTGGGATATATTCTCCATCGATGACCAACAATCTCTCTCTGCTGTTCTCCCTTGTTTAAAAAACATTTTTAAGGAACACATGTGTGGCAGAAAACATCGTGTCACCAACCAAGAGACACTTTCTCTCCACAGGAAAATTAACTCCTGCAGGTAAACCACTGCTTCCTTTACCAACTCAACATCCTTGCTTGCTACCTTGTAGCTTGTCCAGTCATTGTGAACAGAAGTGTGGGAGGAATTGTATTTGCCTCTCTATGGCCAAGGCCATGGAAGCTGTGGAGCAGGGCCTCCTGGGGACTCTCACACCCCTGGTATGATCTGGTATGATCAACGACTTCACATTGTGAAGGCCACAGGTTCTCCACTTTCTCTCTGTACAATGAGATAGCCATGTCTATCTCACAGGTTGTTGATCAAATGAAATAATAGACAAAAAGAGCTTAGCTGGTGGTCTGGAACATGGCAAACACTGGGTGGCATCTGCTGCCATCTTGGTTTTACTCCCCCGGTAGGCAGGGCAACCATCCTGTCAGTGCTGGTCAGGCCCCGTTATGTTGTGCTACAGGTTGTGCTAGGTAAGTACCCTTGGAGGACAGGAAGCACTGCACACCCCTGTCCCTGAGGTGGGGAAGTTTTGCCGCAGCGAGCAGACCTGCAGTGCAAGTTCAGAAGGGTGAAGAGTCTGTGAAGCTGGTGTACCTGAGCAAGGCTGCATGTGGTCCATGGGGCTGCAGGCGGGCCTGAGGCCTTAGGAAGGCTAGAAGTCCCTGGAAGAATAGGTGGGATGACATCCCAGATAAAGAACAGAGCCGGAGGAAAGGATTGGAGGCAGAGAAGCCCCTGAGGATGTAGGTCCTGGCAGCTGGTGGTGTGGAGGCTGAGCCCCAGAGGCCGACTGCCAGCCTCACCTCCTGGCTGTGCCCATTCTGCCTCTGTGACCCTCGGCCCCTTCCAGAAACCCTGCCGCCCTGTGCTCCCCTCCCTCTGTTGTGAGGATTCAATGAGCTAACGGATGGAGAGGTACTGGAAAGCATGGCTGGCACTGAGTCGGCACTCAGTTAATGCCATCATGATCAGAAAGGGCTGCCAGACTGAAATAAGACTTGCAGTCATTCATTTACTCACTTCTGCACGAACTCCTCGACTGGCCCCCTGCTGCGTGTGAAGCCTCGTGGGACACAGGGTTGCCTATTTCCAGTATTTCGTCCAGGGAGGAGGTGCTGGGTGGTAACTCCTGATTGAATGCACATTGTTGAGAACCTGTGATATTTTAGGGTTTGCCCTAGATGTCAGGTTGGGACACAGTGGCCACCTGGCAACTGCTGACCAGGAAGGGTAGACATGTGTCCAGCATTCTACATCAAGGGGCTGCTTCATGCATTTTCTCCTTCCAGTGAGTTATGCAGAGAAGTTACACTTAATCCCATGGTATAGACGAGGAATCTAAGGCTATAATCGTGCTCAAGTTCACCTGGCACATCAAACACCTGGGGACCAGGCCCGCGTCAGGCTGCCTCAGCATAGATAAGCTTCCAGAATCACAGCAACTGGCTTGGCAGCCAAGTTGAGGGGCCCAGCCAGGAAACTGCTAACAACAAGAAGTTGTTGAGTTCTTGGACAGGAATGATAGGTTTCCAATGCTGATGAAGAAAGAGTTAACCAGAAGCAAAGCGCCAAAGGGCGCATAGAAGGAGACCAAAGTAGAGAGACCTTTACTTTGTGAGTGAAACTCCTCAGTGAAGCAGGGTGAGGTGAGAAGAGCCTGGGCCTGGGCTTCTCAACTGTTCCTTTCCCCGTAAGTCGTGCCTTGCCCACGTCCACTTGAAAAGATGACAATTTTGATTTTTTTAATTATTCGCCACTTCAAAAATAATTATACCACAGCACAAAACCAAATCAAAGTAAGGAAGCAAAACAACTCTGCACTAAGACTGCCTTTCCCTACAAAATTGGCCTCCACTTGGCATTATCAGAGACTTTGATTCGCCCCTTGCTCTGTCAACCCTGTGAGGTGTACTGGCCTATCCTAAAATGTCAGAAATGCACATAAATAGAATAAGGTAAATGTGAGAGAGATTTCAAAGGTGAAGGCAGGAGGACTTGATGATTGATAAAAAGAGTCAACAGGAAATGAGTCGAAGACACCCTCAGGTGTTCTAATCCGTGTGCCTAAAAGGTTGGTTGAATAATACTGAGGATAGACAAGAAAGTGGGTCAGGGAGTCAGTTTTAGGATTCAAGTGTAGGTGAGAAGTCATGATGAGAAGTCATGTGGAAGCTGGATAAACATGCTCACGACCATCTCTCAGTGAATAGCCATGTCAGATGTGGATTCACTCGTCACATGGGCTCGGGGTGCTTGCATGGAGTGTGGGTCGGAGGCTGGCTCTGCATCCCTGGGGAATGGCTTTTTCTGTACGGCCCAGCATGAGTCACCAGTGAGTCTACATTCTAACAGGTGGGAGGGAAGAGGGGACAGGAGATCAGAGCCCTGCTGTTTAAGGATGTGACCCAGAAGTTACACACTTTTGTGCATATCCATCTGTAGATTTAGTTGCTTGGCCATATTTAGCTACAAGGGAAGCTGGGAGGTGTAGTATTTATTGGAAGTGGACATGTACACACTGAAACTCAGAAATTCCACTACTACAAAGGGGGGGTGAATGGTTTTTGAGGGACAAGCAGTGAGCAGTCCTTGCAGCAGCTTGATTTGTGAAAATGAAAGTTTCTAGTAGTAATAGTTTAAAAAAATATTCAGGGACAATTCAAGATTGAATAAAATGTACACTGTCTCTCCATGCAAGTATGGAATCTTTCCTCTAAACTGACAAAAGGGGAGGAAATAGAAATGAACCCTTAATATTTTATCTATGACTTAACCTTAACCCCACAGTTTCCTGGGATTTACAGTAAATGAGAAAGAGAAAAAAAAAAGAGTGAGAGAAAAAGAGCTTCTAGAATAATATTAAGTATTTTACTGATTTTTCTTATCGTTTCTTTAAACATCTGTTATGTCTACCTCGGAATGGATTGCCTTTTCCTCTGAAATTATTTACATTTAACCACTCCTATTTCTAATTTCCAGGGAAATCGAGTAGACTAGGGAAGGCTAATCCTCATTCTAATACTCGATTTCTCTTCTACTACTATCCCCTTCTTGGGGAAAAGTACAAAAGCCCACTTGCCTGACGTAACTATAAAAAGTGGTATTAGAAAAGTTTGTAAATCTAAAGCTACATAACGAATATTTAAACATGTACAGACACGTTGCAGAAACTTGGGAATGACTTTTTTTAAAAAATTTTATTTATTTATTCATGAGAAACAGAGAGAGAGAGAGAGAGAGAGAGAGAGAGAGAGAGAGAGGCAGGGACACAGGTAGAGAGAAAAGCAGGCTCCATGCAGGGAGGCCGATGCGGGACTTGATCCTGGGTCCCCAGGATCAGGCCCTTGGCTGAAGGTGATGCTAAACCGCTGAGCCACCCAGGCTGCCCCATGACTGTCTTAATCAGCGACGGCTGTCATAACAAAATACCACAGATGAGGCCACGTAAAGGACAGGACGTTATTCCTCTCAATTCTGGAGGCTGGAAGTCCATGATCAGGTCGCCAGCTGGTTAGGTTTGTGGTGAGGGCTCTCTTCTCAGCTTGCAGACGGCCTCCTTCTCAGTGGCCCCATGCGGCAGGGAGAGAGGCCTTTCTTGTGTATCCTCTTTCGATGGCTCTAATCCTATTGGATCAGGGCTCCACTCATATTTAATCTTCCTTACTTATTCCCAATATAGCCACAGTGAAGGTCAGGGTTTCAACACAAGAGTTTGGGCGGCGGGAGGCACAATTCCGTTCACAGCAATAACAAAATGCCTTTTCTTTTTTTCTAGTCATGTGTACCTTTGCCAATGACCGCCCGGATGAGTCAAAAGGCCAAAATACTGCAAGTTCCATTAGTCGATAGATGTGGCCTAGGCTTAGCTGGAACCACCGCAAATACCATCCGCATTATCTTAGATCCACATGGAATGCATCACAAGTATAATGTCTTTAAAGTTGGAAGCCTGGGCTCACATCAAATCTCTGCTTTCGGCAGAAATCAATGCAACAGTAATGCAGTTTTCTGATCCGCATGATTAGAGCTTCCAGAGGTATAAGCCTGGTGTGCCCTGATACCCACTCTGTCTTGTTTTCTAGGGGATTCTTTGACTGAAAAAAAAACAACAACAACAAAAAAAAACTTTCTGCTTACTATTGCCAGCCCCAATTTTGCCTTTTTTTGTCCCCCTCAGGAAGCACAAGATTCCTAGATGTTTATCTGTTTCTCTCCGACAATTTCCTCTTAGTTATAAAAGTGCCACAAAAAGGTAAAATGCTGTTATTTCTAAATAAGTCTGCTAAATAAGGTTAGAGATATTCCTAAATAGGCTGTGTTAAAAATTTAAAGATTGTTCTACATCACATAGGTTTCACCCTCTAAAAGAAATAGAGGGGGACACCTGGGTGGCTTAGCGGTTGAGCATCTGCCTTTGGCTCAAGTCATGATCCTGGGGTCCAAGGGATCGAGTCCCACATCGAGCTCCCTTCATGGAGCCTGCTTCTGCTTCTGCCTATGTCTCTGCCTCTCATGAATAAATAAAATCTTTTAAATAAATAAATAAATAAATAATAAAAAATAAAAGAAATAGAAATACATTCTTAGAAAGACTCCAGCTGTATACTTGTGAAATAAGTCCCAGAAGCCTAGACTTTTTGCCTGACCTGCCTAAGTAAGTGAAGCCAAACTCCTTTTGCCCATATTGGCCTTTGTCTACCATCCACGGCCGTGTTGTTGGTATCGTGATGAGCTACACTGCCTTCCAGATTGTCCACCAGAGCAAAAGCAGCCAGTGAGTGGAGCTGTGGGCGGGGGTTGAGGGGGGTCTCTAAATCTCTAAACTTTCTCTTGTCTTGGGCTGAGGTGATCTTCACCCTCATTTTGATTTGAAAGTGCACACAGTCCCTGAGAGATGATGACCGGGGAGCCCTGGGCTCTCAGTGTCTACCTGTAGGTAAGACCTGCAGAAGCCAACTGAGGTATAGCTGGCATCGCAGAATGAGTCAACTGGGGGCTAACGCCACAAAATCTCTCCTGAGAACGGGCATTTCTTCCATGACTGGAGTATCAGTGGTTACCGTTATGGTGGCTGTTACCATGCATGAGGCCGTGGGGTCTTGCGGTCCACTCAAGGCTTTCTGCTTAATGTCCCCCTTCATAGGGTGCTCCCCGAATGACATGTGTGAGTGGCCGCAGGAGTGGGGACTCCCCCAAGGCTCTCGGGCATCTGCCCCTCAGAGCAGGGAGGAGGGGCTGCAGTGTGTCATAGGCCCTCAGGGGCCTACTGTTGGTTCATCCCACTTCTTTACCAAATGACTCAGCCTTACACAGAGGTAAGATCATGAGCTATTTTACATCTTTTAAGAACCAGAGCTTCTAGATGGCATGTTGGCTAGGTGAGCTAAATAATTTAGGGATCTTTACGTAGTAAAATAGATACCCATTAATCCATCTGTGAATAGCTGATCGGTGATGGGGAAGGAACTGGGTGCTGCAGGAAATTAGGAGTCACAGTTTTGAGAGCTGGATGGCCTTCTTGTGTTTTAAACTACCCAGACTAGTGTGTGTGAATAAGTCAAGCTCTGAGAAATCGTCATCCCCTTCAAAAACCATGAGGCCAACACAGCTTGCCTCCACTTCAAATAGTGGCACAGATCAGAGCATGAGAATTACTGGCAGCCCATAGTAACCATATAATAAGATATGTTGGTTTCATGCTTCACAACTGGATTCCAAAATAAGGAATGTTGGGATGCCTGGTTGGCTCAGAGGTCGAGCGTCCTCCTTCTGCTCAGGGCGTGATCCTGGGGTCCTGGGATCGAGTCCCACATCGGGCTCCCTGCAGGGAGCCTACTTCTCTCTCTGCCTGTCTCTGCCTCTCTCTGTGTCTTTCATGAATAAATACATAAAATCTTAAAAAAAAAAAGAAAAGGAATGTTATGTTTTAAATTCCTCTATTTTGTTTCCTCTTTGCTATTTGATGCACATTATATGTCATGCAAATCACAATCTTTGACACTCTTTTTTTCTCAATTGAGCATCTTATATTCAGCACCTTAAGTCATTCAATTATTTACAAACCATAGGCATGGAATCTACTTAGAGTTTAGTGTTAGATTCCATGGATAGAGTTGGCCAAAAGGAGGCTCCCCTTTCTGACTCAACCAACAGAGTACAAGGGAGAGATACTGGAAATGAAAATCTTCCCAATGATGCAATGGAGACTTCAATGTTTCCCAGTTGTGAGCATCACTCATTATTTATTCAGACAATGAAACTTGGGGATCGGGAACACTATGTATGTTAAAGCTTTAAATCGCTAGGTATTGGACGGAAATGCTTTCCAAGATCCAGAAAAAAAATAGCTGGAGTTCAAGCACTTATTTCTAAAAACTGATTTGGTTAAGGATGCACTTTAGGTATGTGCATCAGTAGTTACTTTCGACTTATTGCACTATTTTCTTCTTTACTTTCAGAAACGTGGAGGCTCCGACACTGGTTTGCTGTGTCCTTTGCTTACTCCTGAGCTGCAAACAGTAATAAAAGAGGGTGGTTCATGCCCATCTCACTAGACAGATTAGAGGACAAAAGTATTGATCTACTCCCCATGTCAGGTTTTTGTTTTTGTTTTTTGTTTTGTTTTTTTTGTTTTTGTTTTTGTTTTGTTTTGTATCATCCAGCTTCTCTGTTTACCATCACAGAGTTTTGTAGGGTCCTTTTTGGGGGTAATAAGACATGAATCCAATTTAAATCTTCATAAAATGCAATGCTGAGTTCCTAGGTGGCTGTCACTCAGTCTATGGATTAGTTCTGGAGAAAGTCGGGCTTGGTTTCCAATGCGTGGATAATCCAGCTCTGCCGCTCCCTAGCTGCGTGACCATGAATTTTCTCCGCCACAGGTTTGTCTCTTGGTAAAATAGGAATATGGACCTCGGTGGGTGGTCAGGAGAAGGAAATGAAACGAGGCCTGCAAAGCACTCGATCAACTGCCGCCCAGTATTATGGTACCGTGGCCAGGGCTATCGCCGTTGGTAGAGCACCGATGGCCCACAGCGTGCCGTGCCAGCCTGAGATACCGCAATAGCCCGGTGGAAGGAAACATGCCAGAAACCAGTCTATGCACGGATGCCCCAGACACGTGGACACGGATGTGGCTACGGCAGAGACACGGGGTCATCCCCACGCACCCAAGCCTTCCTGAGCGCCCCCGGACAGCCAGGCACTCGGTGGGCACCCCGGAGCTACAGAGACAAGCCAGGAGCAGGCCTTGTGGGGGGGGGAGCCCTCCAAACGATCAGAACTCAAGAGTAAGTCCTGTCGTGAGAGCCCCGAGACTCCGGAGACTCCAAGACACCCCAGCTCCTGAGCGCTGGGTCCCGGCCTGGGTTCGGAAGGAAGCAGCGGCTCCTCCCGCCGGGGAACGGGCCTGGGAGAGGTGCGGGCGCGAGAGGACCCAGGGCGCCCTGGCCGGCCGCGACCCCGCGCCGCTCGGAGCGCCCGGAGCGGCCAGGGCACCGCCGAGGCGACCGCGGCCAGCGCAGGTGCAAACTCGCGAAGGGAGGCGCCTGCCGCGCAGACCAGGGCCCCCGGGGGCGCCTGCGTCGGGACACGGGCCTTCCGCCCTCCCTGCTTCCCACTTCCAGGAAGATTCGCTGAAGGGCGTGGGGGTCGGGCCCAGAGGCCTCACGTCTCACGTCTGCATTGGCGGGAGCAGCGCGTGCGGCCGGCAGAGCAGAGGGCGATTCCAGAGAAGGCCTGAAAGGGGCGTCCCAGGGGCGCCCCAGGGGCGCGGAGCCTCTGCCGGGGAGGGATCCTCCTCCCCGCGGGGCTGGTGCTGGGCAGAGCAGCGCGGACGCGGACGCGGACGCAGACGCAGACGCAGACTCGGACGGGCGAGGCGCTCCGAGGCCCTTGTCCGTGCGGGGAAGCGTCACTGGCAGAGGCGACCCCGGGGCGCGAATCTTTCCTCGCACTACAGGGGCCTCAGCTAGAAGATGGTAGGGGGCCCGGGGGCCCCGGGGGCGCAGCGGTTTAGCGCCGCCTTCGGCCCACGGCCTGATCCTGGAGACCTGGGATCGAGTCCCACGTCGGGCTCCCCGCAAGGAGCCTGCTTCTCCCTCTGCCTGTGTCTCTGCCTCTCTCTCTGTCTATGTCTCTCATGAATAAATGAATGAAATCTTTTTTTTAAAAAAATGATGATGATACAGGGACTTGAGGGGAGGAAGCCGTCAGAACCCTGGGGGGCAGGGGTGGCGGCTTAGGGTGAGGGCTCAGGTTATCCCATATCACGGGTTACCTTGGGAGATGCATTTTTTTTTTGAAAAAAAAAATAATGAAAACAATCTTTTTTTAAAGCTATATGTCCACCATTTTATTTTCTGATGTTACTACCATCTCATTATATATATATATTTTCCCCATTCCTCTCATCTATTATTTCAACTGCTGAGACACGTAGTGCATGAAGCAAACTAGCAGCAGAGTGAGAAAGAATAAGGGGTAAAAAAAGAAGAGATGGTGCTTCGGAGTGATTGACAACCCAGTTTCAAATCCTGGCCATGTCCTTTACAAGCCGGATGAGCTTGGAAAAACTAAATCAGGGGGATCCCTGGGTGGCGCAGCAGTTTGGCGCCTGCCTTTGGCCCAGGGCGCGATCCTGGAGACCCGGGATCGAATCCCACATCAGGCTCCCGGTGCATGGAGCCTGCTTCTCCCTCTGCCTGTGTCTCTGCCTCTCTCTCTCTCTGTGACTATCATAAATAAATAAAAATTAAAAAAAAAAAAAAACTAAATCAGTTTCCTGGTTCCTAAGTAGGAACTAGAGGGCCTATTCGGTTGGTGTGTGGCTTAAATGACACAAAAAGGAGGAAAATACGGCCCAGTGCCCAGTACACAGTAAGGGCTTAATAAATGGTGTCAGTTATTATAATTATTATTATTATATTAGAATGTCAGGCAAGAAAAGGGGCAATTCTTGACCGCATATTTCCTCTCATTTTATTTTACAGGCCTAGCTGGACTGGTTCCCTATGCTTACAAAGTCCCCTGTGCCCATATTACAAATCAAACAGACGAGGGATGCCTTGAATAATTGGGAACTACAGTTGCAGTTTTTGAGGCAAATGGACTCCAAATCCAGCCAAGAACAACAACTTGATCTGTAAAGCCTCACTTGCTACGAGGAATTTATAAAGAGGAAAATCAGGGAGTAAAACAAAGGCAGTCAGATCTTTTTTCCAGAAAGTCATTTTAATAGCCCTCTCAACCTCAGAGAAGCTGGACAGAATTTCATGACCTTAAGAGAGTTTGTTGTGTTAGAATTTAGGAATTAGGAGGCTTAGACCACTGAGTGGTACCTGTGATACTAGACTAGTTCTTGCATTAAGAAAATAAAAGTCTTACATTCGCTTTGATACTGAAATGTGTCCCAGCCCACTGGCAGGGAGTCTCAGTTAGACCCAGACGTTTCATCGAATACAAATAATGACAGCGAACGAGCACCGGCTTAAGGCTCAGCTGGAATAAAGGCTGGTGCCACCTCCTCCACCCCTGAGGGCTACTTGATGTGACCCGAGGACCAGCCTGGCTTGGTTTTCTGTTTGTTCCTACACCTAAACTAACTGTATAGGCTGCAGAATCGCCGTGTTGTATTAATAATTCAAGGAAGAAGCTTTCATTTTAAAAAGCTCCTGCTACCAAAAAAAAAAAAAAAAAAAAAAAAAAACAGAACAAAACAAGCGGGGGGGGGGGGGGTGCTTTTCCCAGTATCTCCTGTCATTTCTCTAAGAGACCAGCTAGGAAATGACCCAATAGACTGCTTCTTTTGCAAGAGCAGAAACCACACCAACACTTCTTTTTGTTTGTTTCACATTTCACATAGTTTGGGAAGGCTGAATTTTGAGTCAATTTTTTGGCCTGTTTTGACGCCCTCAGATTTGGTATTTTTGCTACATCTTAACTTGTTTATAACCCTTGTTTTGCTGTGATTTCACTTTAAATACAAAAGTAACATTTTAAAAAGGAGTGGTGGAAATCCAAGAAACAACAGCTACATACTTTTCCATATTTTTATTGTCTATATTTTACACACACACTATCCCCCTAACATGCTAAATTTCTTCTTGAAAGTGCCCATTTTCCACAAGGTAAGCCATAATTGCATTTCATAAAGCCCCACTAGTCTTCAGCTAAGGAAGGAAGGGTTTTCATATTTAAATGAGCTCTATTTGGATATAGGTAGTGAAGTTTCAGCCTCGGATTTTTTTTTTTTTTTTGTAATCTATATAAACCCACCACATTCATTAAAAACAAATACTCCAGGTTCTTACACTGAGGAACGGTTGGATTTCATATTAAATGATTTGTCTTTGTGATCTTTTTCTAGCACTTGGGCTGAGAAATTCTTGCCTTGCACAACGTGAAAACAGACATCAGCAGTGGATAGCAGCACTCTTATTACAAGCCCAAATGGAAAACATCAAAGGTTCTATTTATTTTATAGAGTTTGATTCTTCAGATTTGACATAAGGAAAAAAATCTCACTCCAGGCCTTTTAAATAATATTAAATGGGAAATCTTGTGTATTTCCTTCACCAGCTCTTGGGAAGGGCAGACGGTAAGAGGCAAAGGATGTGGACATCTAGTCCATATCATGCAAAGACATTTCAGGAGTTAACTGTTTCCTTACACTCGCATAGTTGACACAGCCATCATCATGTTCTCCTGGACTAGAGGTTCAAGTGCTGCTTCTAAATTCTGCAGCTTAAATAGAACAATGGGGAAAGAACTGCTTTTACGCTGCATGATTGGCTTTGAAGGTTGCAATCAATTTCCAAAGTCCCGGTACACAAACAATGTGATGTCAGCTTATATGAGGGGCCCCTGCCATAGTGACCTACCTTTGAAAATATGCCAATGTTGATACAGCTATGGAGGGGATACAGAAAGCAGCTGTCTGACTCTGATATCTCTATCTCAGACGTTTCCATTTTTGTCTTTCCCCAGGAAGGTTTTCATCATAGCAACAACATGGCCAGACAATTAATGCAGTATTGCATTACTCTTAATAACTCAATTTCCTGGGTCACCTCCCTTGGTCTGTTTTTCAAGTTACGCCACTTGTTAAGAACTATTTCCATACAAAATGGAAATTCAAGAAATTCAACTTTCAAACTTATCTATATTCTCGGCGCTCATTTTTCTAATTAGTCATCATTGACTATTACGGTTCCTTGATTACTCATAACTGTTTTTCCAACTACTATACCATACTCATTTAATCCATTTGCATTTTCATAGATGATTAGAGATATTTATGATATATTAGATTTAAGAAAGAAAATGGGAAATATGCAAATGTTCCTTAGTCTTCAGTTTTAAAGAGTAAATCAGTAAACACAAAGGTAAATATTAGTCCAAATATGTGAAAAATTCATATATTTTAACAGAAAACATGGATGGCACAAATAACAGCAGCAATCTCGTTTCATCAATAATCAGGATACCAAGAATCTATCTTTATTTACATTGCCTGCAGAATCCTCTGAAATATAAGGATCTAAAACAAGTGGTGCACCCTTTTTAGATATTAGGGATTAAGACACTCTTTCAAACTTTTGTAACACTTAGTGATGGGTTAGAAGGAATTGTGCATCTTAAAAGAGTTCCAGAATTTGAGAATTTGAGCCAGGAAAATCCTCAGTATAGAGGAATAATGACTGCAACAAATGTGAACTATGAGGAATTTTTTGGCAGGCATATACTGATACCTAGACTACCTAATAATGTTTTAGTAGGACTTGAGGGAAGCATGGTGCTATTTAAAATTTGTAAAGGGTGAAAGATCAGCTGAATGGAGCGTCAGGAGGAAAGCAATGCCCACTGCTTGTGCTCGGTATGGACTCTAGCATCTCACTTTGTCTATGTCAAGAACGAAACTTAATTTCCTACACGGTTTGTACATCAGTCTTACTGCTTTGGAGTCCTCACATGCAATAATAATTCTGATGTATACTTTGCTCTCCTAACAAATTAAGCAATCAATAAGGTCTATATTTAATAGTCTTAAAATTCCTATTTGCCAACAGTTTCCTCATCTCAGGTATATTTTATAATACTCTCAGAAATCCCTGAGATTAAATTCCCTTATTTTAAGGAAAAAAAAAAAAAAAGAAAGTATCTGTGCCAGTTTCATCAGATAGCAGTTTTACATGGGAGCTTTTCATAGAAATAGTTAAGATATCCTTCTCTGAACCTCATTTTTTGAAGATTGATGAAGTTTGTCATAAAACTACTTTCTGGTTTTGAGTGGTGTGTGTGTGTGTGTGTGTGTGTGTGTATGTGTATGTGTGTTAGCACAGTATAATCAAGTTTATTTGGCAGAAAGGACTTGAAACATCATTGGTATTTTTAGGAAGAAAGGCAGCTTGAATTATATTGTCATGGTGCAATATACTATTGACTGCATTTAAAAAACTAGTTCTTATATAATCAGATTATATAAAAAAGAAATCCACATATTTCAACTTCAGGAATGCTAACTTTTGCAATTTCCAAAGTGGAAGTATTAAATTTATCAATTTGGGCTTTAAGTTAAAGGATGGAAAAGAGAGGATGATGCCTGAGGAAGTCACGTGCACAGTTGAGGAAAACACAGATTTCACCACGTAAACCAGGCAGTACAGATGAGTGCAGCATAAAGGGTGAAGCACTGCTAGAAGAGAGTGTCACACTCTCTGTATAATAATCTCAGATATTAGAATAAGTGGAAATAAGAGGGGGCAGCCCTGGTGGCTCAGCGGTTTAGTGCCTGCCTTCAGCCCAGGGCATGATCCTGGAGACCCAGGATTGAGTCCCATGTCAGGCTCCCTGCATGGAGCCTGCTTCTGCCTCTGCCTGTGTCTCTGCCTCTCTCTCTCTCTCTACATCTCTCATGAAAAAATAAATAAAATCTTAAAAAAAAAGAAAGGGGAGGAAGATCTGGAAAGCAATAACTACATTAATGTTTAAGAATAAATGAGGGGTAAAAAAGGGCAAAGAACAGGGACTAGATTTCAAGTGAGTTCCTAGAGATGGAACCCAGATAAGACTGACAGCAATTATGAGGAGAAAACAATATAGATTTATGCAAAGAAGATTTAGGAAGAAATTTCTGGCCAAAAAATAATATACATATTTTAGAAAAAAAATCAACAATCATCTTACAGGAATTTTTAGATATAAGCCAACACAAGAGGAAGGTAATGGACAGGGATGAGGCAATCTCTTGGAATTCCTTCCTAAAGTCCCCTGAGTCCACTAAGTATATATGTGTGTGTGTGTGTGTGTGTGTATATACATACATATAGATATATATAAATATATTTATATATATAAACATATATTTATATATATTTTTATAGCTATTTTCACCCTTAAATCTCAATCAAGGGAGAGAAGACTGAGTAAATAAGCATCAAGATATAAAACAGCTTATGAATACACTATATACAAAGAAATATTAGCACTTCTGTGTTCATCACAGCACTATTCACAATAGCCAAGAAGTGGAAGAAACCTTAATGTCCATCAATATGAATAGATAAAGAAAATATGGTAGATACATACAATGAAATACTGTTTCAGCCTTCAGAAGAAGGAAATTCTGCAACTCAACAATACAGAAGAAACTTGGGCATTATGCTAAGGGAAATAAGACAGTCACAGAAAGAGAAATACTGTGTGACTCTACTGACATGAGGTATCCAAAGTAGTCAGATTCATAGAATCAGAGCAGACAGTGGTTTCCAAGAGACGAGGAAAAGGGGATTTACCAATCAATGGCATACAGTTTCAGTGAAGTGACATGAGAAAGCTCTAAAGGTCTGCTGTACTATACAACTAAAAAGCTGTCAAAGAAGGTAGCTCTCATGTTAGGTATTCTTACCACAATAAAATTTTATAAAGAATCTGCTATATATGTAAACTGGAATTCTATAAAGCTCACAAAATAACATATCTAATATATAATCTAGTAAATTCTTTTTTTTTTAATCTAGTAAGTTCTTAAAGATATACACATTAAACTCTTCAGAGGCAAGCACATTCGAGTAAAATGAAAGAACACTTCCAGAACTTTGGTTCCTGGGAAAAACACAATACAGAATGATGGCATCCTGAGCCTTCAGATGTGTATCTTTAAATGGTTACCTGGGTACTAAACTTAGATAAACAATGAAAGACGGAATTACTTTGATATTGTGTAATGTTTCTTTGTAGTTGTTAATTTTCCACAATAATGAATGGAAAGGGAATGAATGTCTTAAGTAAAATGGCTTTAGTAATTTCTCTTGAAATTATGAACTTACTATTCTAAGTTGAACATCAAAGCTTACCCACTCTCTACAATCCAAGGGCAAAGTTCTAACATTCTGTAAATAAATACAAAATGGTTGCTGTTTTATACTCTTTTTTAAATAGACAAAATAATTTATAGTCACAGAATACATCTACTAGAAAGAAATGTTTTTTAATATCATCTTTAACAAATTAAAAAAAAGCAACAATTCAATAAGGATCCTTCCATTGTTCTTTATACAGTTTTAAATGCTGTTGTGTAATTTATCAGTTACATTTATAATCAATAAACCTTCCACTCACTGAGTTTAGAAATTACTGTATTTACTGAGCTAAATTCTCTCACAAAATAAGGCACAACTACATGATCACAAGTAGTAAACACAATACAAATAATGAGTTCAAAACCTAAATGAAAAAATATTCATGCAAAAGTTTCTATAGAAACTATGAATATATGATCCAGTTCAAGGAAGTACAGAATGTCATATACATAACTGCATCATGTTACAATAAATTCATTACTTCTACACAGAAAGAACCTATTTCCAATTCTATTTTATACAATTTTACATAAATTTAGTAAGTTTATGCACAATATTCACATCTGCAACAATAACAAATTGATCATTAAAATTCAGGCAAAGGGCAATTAAAACACGATAATGTGTGGCACATTATAATTACAGAATACCATTCATCAAGCTCATGTCTAGGAATACTAAATTGATGGCACATTTAAATCTTATGGATCAAATCATCCATGGTTTTATAGCCAAAGTGCATTAAAAAAAATTGCTATAGTCAAATAGCTCATGAATATCAAAATATATGATCATAATTTGCTCTCCACTTAAAAGCTAAACATTTTTATGCAAATGCAAAGTTAAAAAAAAGTGGCTTCAAAGTTCTCAAAACTATAAAATAATCTTAAAGCCTTTCTAAGAGAGATGGGAAACTAACAAATTTGGCAGTTACTATGTGACATTACTGTGAGGAAACTATTACACTAGCTAATTCCACATTAAGAGGTAGTTGAACAAAATGTTATTTGTACACTGCATTGAGGTCTTTGTGTTTGTTTCCCTCTTTTTTCTTCAAAATGAACTAATTCTATACCAGCATTTTTGTCTTCTTCCTATTAAAGGAAAACTATAGGTATAGTTTATTGTACACTAACCCAGCAAAACTTGACTTTAATTCACATTTCTGTGCTCGGGTTTGGAATTTACTAACGTGTGATGCCAACAGACTTTGCGTTTAGAGCCAAAAGCTCAGATATGCCAGCTCTAACTCACTGACAAATAGTACCAGCAAACATCTAAAATATAGAGCCAATAAGAACTCAGAGGATGACTTTTTATTAAAAGAAAAAGAAAATTCTGTTTCCAAAACACTTTAAATTCAGAGTTAATATGCAAAAAAAGTTTTATTTCTAATATTATTAGTATAGTAGCCAATGGTAAATTATTCAGGATCTATAAAATGAGATCTAATTTTCATTTAGCCAATCAAATGCATATGGTTTTATTTGTTGTCCTCCCCACAATTTTTTTGTGAATATGCGGGTGGGGGACAAGACAGGGAAAACTCCTTCAGTGCACCCAATTAGGAGATGAAGTAAACAAATATTTGAATCTAGAATTCTCATGAATTTGTATGATCTTAAAAAAAAAAACAGTGCTATATCTATTTTTCCAACACAGAAAGTTTCTAAGTTTCATATTAAGTTTCTTATGTGTTAAAGTGTAGAATTAATACTATTGAAAGGATTTATAAGTATATAAAAATGCATAAATAATTTTAGCTCAATTTATATTATCCAACTATTATTTTTAATAAAAAAAATCATTGTATTTCCTCTTTAAATAAGCTCAAGGATATTTGTTTATCCAAATCTAGGGACTCAATCAGGGTCCTTAATAGCTACTGACAACAGGATTTACTTAAATCAATTTTTTTAAAATAATTAAATGAATATATGGCAATCTCTTTTAGTTCACAGATGTTACAGATAAAGCATAAACACAACTTTATTTCACCATGATATCTGAAAGCAAGTGTATATTATAAACTATTGCAAATGAAATATTAACTCCCATCCTTCCCCGCTATTATTACTAAATGATTACTGTGCACAAATGGATAACTTCACATTTTTTCTCTAGAAAGAATAAACCAATATTAATGACCTCTACAGATGTTTTCCAATTTGCCAAATTAATAAGATCATGATAAATTAAAGTTCAATTTCATTTTTCAGGATACAAATAAGCTAGCTTTTAATTACCCTTAATTAGCCATTTTCAGTTCTGATTATAACTTTGGGATTCCCAAATACATTTGTTTTTGGTGATATTCTATTCTCCACCTGTTACTTTGAGATAATTTCACAGCAATATTTTTGGGAAGTAAAAAGATTTACCAGCTGGTATGGAACCCCAAATTCAGAATCATTTTAAATTTAAAGTTCACGACTTTCAAAAATGTTTCCCTGTTAGGTAAGAAAAAAATGTAAAGTAGAATATTTAATGTCTCCTTACCATTTGTATTTGTTTTCACAGATAAGACTAAAGCAGTATCAATTATTGGCTTTAAGATGCAAAATTATAAATAGTGAAGCTGAGCTATGCTTGGAAAGGTTAAACCAAATAAAGGGAAAAAAATAGATCCATTAAAAAAGCAAACTCAGATTCCCAAAGAGGCAGGAGAGACAGTATGAGGCTAATCTCAAATTAAAATGGAAGTTTTTCCCACTTAAAAGAAACTGA